ATCTCACTTTCTTATGCAACTCTTAAGGAGCTATTATTTAACCATGTAAAGTGCCTTAGTTTTGAACGCCAGCGAAAGCAGGAGATTTCATAAGATGATTCGTCAAAATGACCAAAAGGTTTAAGAATTCACCCATGAATTGCAGAAACAGGCTGTCAAATGTAATTTTGATGATCAACTTCATGTAAAACTGAGGGATTGATTAATTGAGGGAATTAACGTACCGGGTCTTGAAAGAGATCTGTTAAGAACTAACTAACTACGAGACATTGAATGAATTTGTTATCTAGTCGATGAAAATTTCTGGTACTATGCTTAGTCGTTATGATGAAATGTAATCTCAGGGTCCATCAAACTTGTTTTCGTTTAATAGGTTCTCTTATTCTCGTGTAAATATGAAAGGTGTTTTAACAAGGAATCACAAGGCAAATCACAAAGGTGAGATGAAGTTTGTTGAATGTTTATCCTGTGACAAATTTTGTCCTCATAATTCATGCGCATTTGATAACGGTAAATGTTTTAAACGTGGTAAGATAGGACTCATTCAGTCAGTATGCAAACCCACTGTCCATTTCGTTTCTTGTAATTTAAATCTCAATAATTCGGATGTTTCTAGTGATCATTTATCTTTTTCTACCATTTCTAAGGGTAATGCTCATATTCATAAGCGATTATATACATCGCTTGGTTCATTTCATGACTTTATTGTGGACGCAGGCAGTGTAGAGTCCATTATTTCATCTTTAGATCATAACGTTGTGGTACGGCCCACGGAAATATAAATATTGGGGATTACTGGGCACAGACTACCCATTCGATGATGTTGTGAATTGCTAATAAGAGGTGATAATTCACTATGCATACCTCGTGAACTTTTTGTTAGCGAAACAGGACTGTCAATACTGGGTTTAAGGAAGGCTTAAAATGGAGTTGTCTTTCCTTGTTTCTGAAGAAAATTCTGATGCTTTACTTAAATATTTGATGCCTACGTGTGCTAAGTGCTGTGGAGGTATGAAAAGTTAGCCTATAAGACTTCAAGTGCAGGGTGGTCTAGTCTTTCTTAAAAGACGAATAATTCCATATGGTCTTCGAAAAGCAGTACATAAGATATTAAATGATTTGTGTGAGAAAGGCATAATTGAACCGATTCAGTCTTCAGCATGGAGTACTCCTATGGTTACGCCAATGAAGTCGGACGGCAAGACCCCTAGAATTTGTGGTGACTATAGATTGACTCTGAATTCCCGTTTGTTGAAGCAAACATGCACGACGGTGAAGGCTGAAGATATTCTAAATCGACTTCATGGTTTTAAATTGTTCTCGAAAGTTGACCTAAAAGATGCTTATCGTCAAATCCCTTTAGCTCAATCCTCATCTATTTTGACAACAATTAACTCTGCTTTTGGTCTGTTCAAATACGATTTCCTTCCATTTGATTTAAGTTGTTCTCCAGCCATATTTCAGGAAGTTATCAATAAAGTAGTTAGTGATCTTGATGTTTAAGTTTATAAGGATGAACTCATTGTTCATGGTCTCGATATAGAAGCTCATGACCAGAGACTTATTTCCTTATTGCCCCGTTTGTATGAGAAGAATATTAAGGTGAATCCAAATAAGTGTTCATTTTGTGTATCTAGTTTCGAATGTCTTGGACACCTAGTTGATGGTAGTGGATTTGGACCAGATATGAAACGACTAGATCCACTGACAAATGCACCGTCTCCAAAAAGTCTTACGGAATCGCATTCACTAGGGGGTGCTCTTAAATACTATCCCCGTTTTATTCCTATTTTTTCTTGTCGTGTAAATTGTTTATTTAGTATTTTGACACCCAATTCATTCAAATGGGGTGAGGTAGAGGAATCATGCTTACGAAGTCTATTAAAGTTTCCCCAAAGTGATGCTGTTCTTCAAAACTACTTTCCTAGTGTACATTCTGTGCTTATTATCGATGAATCACATTTGGGTATTGGCGCAGTATTGAAGCAGGAATGTAGACCAGTTATTTGTATTTCACGCAAACTTACTGTTACTGAACAAGGTTATTCACAGACTCAGCGAGAAGCATTAGCTGTGTTTTGAGATTTTAAAAGACTTCATAAATATTTATTCGGAAAGAAATTCAATATTGTTACGGATTATGAAGCTTTAAAGTTTATTTATCATCCTGAAAAATCCTCAGCTCGTTCCTCAGCTGCTACGGTTCAACGATGGAGTATTGCTTTGAGTGCACATGACTATGCGGTTCAGCGTAGGAGTGCCAAACAAATTCAACATGTTGACTACATTTCTCGTCAATCACTACAAGATGGACCTATTTGAACTGTTTGTTAGTGCAACCTTAACCAGTGAGACGTTCAGATCTCATTGGAGAAACTCGTAGATACTTTGGATGTATACTGAATGCTATACGGAAAGTTTGAAATGGCAATCTGAAACGTAGATTTTCTATCTATTTTCCAAAGCGGGATGAGCTATCAACTACCCCTGTTGGTATTTTATGCTTAAATGATCGAGTTGTCATTCCTCCTTCACTGCGTAAACCTGTTCTTGAGGGTCTTCATAGTGGACATTTAGGTGTTGAGAAAATGAAGTCCTTGTCGAAGCTCACATGTTGGTGGCCAGAGATAAATGCAGATATATGTCGAACAGCAAACAATTGTGAAAAATGTCATAAGTTAGAAAATCAGCCTTCGAAGTGGACTCCATGGCCAGTATCGTCTGAGGCCAGGCATAGAACTCATGCAGACCAATGTGGTTCGATTCTTGGCAAATACTATGCACTTGTAGTCATTGATTCTTTTTCAAAGTGGCCTAAATTTTTTTCACGACTTCACAATCCAAGGATTAAGAAAGGTATCTAGTCGAGAAGGTTTTCCCACGGTGTTACTGACCGATACTGGCTCTCATTTCGCTGCAGATGCAGTCACTACCTTGTTGAATGGTATAGGGGCAGAGATTCGTTTACTGCTCCCAAACATCCTTGTTCTAATGCTCAGACAGAAAATTTTGTCAGGACATTGAAAACTGCTATTGATCTTATTTCTGCTTCGACGTTTAATGAACTGGAGAGGAGAGTAGATGCCTTTCTATTGCAGTATAGAAATGCCAGACATACCGTGTTGAAATAGACTCTGTCAAAGCTATCAAAAGGAAGAATTCTTCGGTCGAATATGAGGTGTTTGGAGTCTGCGGAGGTTACATGCTATCGTGGAAATGATCTTCGACCAGCCAAGGGGATTGCGGTGAAGAATGTCGGAAAATCTATGATGCTTATTCTAGGTATCAACGACTTAATTAAACACAACTGACATGTTGATCAAACACAATTCCAGGAACTAGTGAGTCTGTTTCGATCCCGGTTGTTAATTCTAATGATAATGAGCATATTCTAGATCATACAGAGTTTACATCCAATACACGGTCGGACAAACACAAGAAAAACTTAAGAACAAGACTTACAATCAGTTACAGACATTTAGACTCCAATTTAACCTGTGGCGGATGTGGTGTTTGTATGAACTAACATACGTTATCGCTTATCTAGTTCTTCGTGATCCAATCGCGTTATTTCTAGTATTCTTAGCTTGTACTATAATTCGTATACTTCTAATTATCAGAAAACCAGTAGTGGGGGCGTAGCAGCGTTATACCTACGATCTTGCTCGATTGTACATCAAGTGTACACTCAAGAGTTCAATCGTAGTGAATCTGTAAGGTGCTCAATAAGATTGTCTAGAACTTTGAGGTGTCTTGATGGTGACGTCTACAGGAAGCTCACTGATGACATAGAGCACAACAATCACATGACGAAAAGATTATTTCACTCTACTTGTCTGAACTTCATTCATATCCTGACTCCATGAGATTCAGTTTTCTTATAGTCGATGTTGCTGAACATACGTACATTGAAGGTGATAAATCTACTGAATTTTGATTCCTTGACCTCATTGAAGTTCTGGGATTATTTGAGAATTTTTAAATGAAAATCCCTCAATATTGGCTACCCTGGGTAGAAGTGATCACTTCGTCATGGATTTTAATTTCATTAGCAGTATTGAGCGAAATAATCCTATAAACAACAGGCATTGGAATTATAAACGGTTGAACGCTTCAGCTTTAGAGGACATCCTAAGGGAGGCGGACTGTGAAGTGCACCCTCAACAGTATGTGCATACGATCATATATTCTACAAAACCGTCTTTATGACAACGTCTCACGACAACAACAATCAACCTGTAGCGATAAAGAATCGCATTCATCGGTTTCAGTGAGTAAAAGTCCTGTATAGCCAAATTTTACTGACTGAAGTGTACAGATGGACAACCACCCTTGACTGCAAGAGGAAGATTAACGTCACATACCTTGACTTATCGAAGGCCTTTGATGTGACCAATTATACGTGTCTCATCAATAAACTCAAACGATTAGACACCAAGTCATTGATGTTGGAGTGACTTTCTTCACACCTAAATAATCGACTTTTTGAAAACGAGTTAGATCTCAGTATTTCTCAGACTATGGAATGTTATAGGATAATTCCTTGTTTTCTTAATTTCCATAAACAACTTTACTCAGCAGGAGACATGCGATTTATCACTTTTCCATGATGGTGTGAAAATCTAGAGGTAAGTTTGCAGCTAAAATGATAAACTGACTTTTCAGGAGAATCGAACTCGACTTCGAAGCTAGGCGGACAACAACTGACTTACTTTTAACATTGAAAAGTATGAAGTGGCCCATCTGTGATATTTCATAGACTAGGAATAAAACTTGGTAACTCCACTCTAGAGGTATCCAAGGTTTTGTTCGTACCCTATGATCTGAAGTCATATGCCAATTTCAACATAAATGCTTATCGAACAACAAAGTTTTGAGTTAATGTACTTTTTAGAACAATTCAATAACTGTTCTAAAATCTCCTTAACAAGAACATCAATGTATATGATTTTCAAACTTGAATTTCAACTTATGTATTTGTTGTACTGTATCAATTAGGAGTTCATGAAGCAACCTTGCAAAGGCACGCTTTCAAAAGTGTTTCAGGATGAGCGAGAGTGATGCTCTTTTCGATGACGTATATGAGCTTCATGAAATAATTGGAAAGTAATTTCAAAGATCATGGTGTTTCAGCTTTTTCCTCAGGCATCAGCTCGTGTTTTTCTAATGAAACGTGGGATAATTTGAATTTTTCAAACGTTATGTAGTGTAGCTTTATTTTGAAAGCACTGAGGATAACCAAAACTCTGTGAAGTTTCTTTTTGTTTCATTCTTGTGCGCTCAGTTCCGTCGACACAATTTTGGCATGACTTAACAAAGATTTGCGATCTTCACATTTAGCCAATCTCCTTGTTTCGGGGAAATTGTTGTCCGTTTTAGATAAACTTTGGGGTATCCGCAATATAAAACGTTTAAGAAATCTTTGGAAAGTGGGACAGAACCTCTAAAACTTACGAAAGTCCTGGAAAAATATCCAAAATATTTGGGGGATATTGTGTTTTCTTCAATATTTGCCTATGATCTTATAACACTGAGGTTTTCCTCCACATTTTAGGAAACTTTGGAAAAAGCTGTCAATCGATTCACGACTTTGAGGAAAACCCAAAATTTTTTTCAGAAATTCCCCACATTTTCCTCAAAATAGGGAGATTGGGTATGACTTTGCAACTTCTTTATAAACTTAAGACTTATAAATTTGTGCACAAACCTGTTTCCATTGTTGCATCTGAAAAACGTAATTAGGTGTGTCTTGTGCGTCACTCATTGCAATTGGAATAAAGTTGGGGAGATTTCGGGATTTTCCCCTAAAGTCGTAATAAATATGGTAGTCTACCCCCAAAGTTTGTGAAAAGTTCAGGGAAAAACCCCACAGCCTTATTAGGTTCTGTGGAAATGTTATGGAAAACCTAGAACTAATCAACTTAGTGGGCATTACTCAAATACTTGTTAAACAAACTCATTTATCTAGATCAATGTGGCAATGCAGATGCAATAATTGTCTCAATTACCATTTCAGGACTAAACATCTAGATTGAACAATGATTGTTCAATGATCTCACTGTATATGATCGTTAGGTTGAGGTCTTCTGTACCCAAATACATGCAAACTACAGTCGATCATACCTCATATTTCCTTTAAAACGGACTAATTTATGTACATAGAAATGTTGGGAAAGACGTGTATAGTTCATTCTTTTAAGCAACTCATTTTTGTATTTTACCTTATAATTAATCACTATATTTTTTCACGTTTTTTCAGAGGGCCTTTCAGCGTTATACGACGATGTACTCGTAAGGATACTGGTACTGAGTATGCAGTTAAAATAGTTGATGTTGTAAAGTTTACAAGTAGTCCAGGACTTTCTACAGCAGGTAACTACTTTTCAACAATATCTTGGTTAAAATATGCAGTAGTTGGTCTGATATTTAAAATTATAGATTAGACTAAGCTGGGAAAAAACGAGAAGATCGACTGTTAGTTGGTTTCTTGTCTTATCGCCAGTTGGGAATAAGAAAATATTTATGTTGAGATAATGAACTAAAGTTTTAGAAGATGTGAAATTAATGTGTCTGCCAATAAGACCGGTTAAAAACTATGCTATTCGACGTTTCCAGGCATTGTTCCTTGTTTTTGCGCCGAGATCAGTCAGTTCGTCAGTATTTACATTTGCGCCTTTAGCTTGAAACTCCAATGCGTTACTCTTCTACGTTATTGGGTCTAGATAGCCATCAGCTGGTTCAGTGGATGTAATAATGTTTTCGAGGGTCTTTATTTTTTCATTGTTAATATTCAAGATTTTATTTGATCTGTCTCTGTTAACGTACATGAACTACAAGTGGATGACTCATTACTGTTTATAGATACAAGTTTCATTGTATTTTTGAGTTATGGTTATCTCGAGAATGCAGGACGAAGATTTCATCTGAACATTCTAGTTCTGAACGTCAACAACGGGGAAATTTACTTTTATAGTAGATAATGAATGAAGATTTATCGTTAGTAACCTCCTCCTCAAACTTTAGAGTGATAAATCCATAAATATCCTATCACGGTATCTAGTGTAAGGTATATACCCATAAAAGTTTTGAGTGAACTAATTCTAAAATTTTGTGTCGTTTTTTGGGATTCGTTTTACTGAAATATTGAATGCGCTTATGTAAAAACACATTTTGAAAGGATACTTTCACTAGGTAATATTCGGTCACGTACATACGTTCAAACTTTATTGCAAAAAAATATTAACTTACATCGAGTGAATCCTTACAAACTTTTCTTACACCGTATTCACAGGTAATTAGTTTCAAAATTAATTCTCACGATTCTTACGTAGAAGCTTTGATTAACTGAGTCGTCATATCTAAAGAAGTTATCAATTGACTGATTGGAGGATTATTTTGATGTATTAAGAATTGATAACAAATGAAAGTATAGAGCTTTTGATTGAGGATCAGTAGCTAGAGAGCAACAACGAGGTCGATAACCCTGCTAAAGTTATGAGTGAAAACCGTACTTCATAACATAGGAATTAAACAACTCTATCGTTCTCAATGGTTCTTTAGTTTTAGTCTATTTGCATCGTTGGCTACTGTTATAACTTGTGACCTGTGTGCCCTGTTAATGTATAACGTAATGATACCACCAATTAAAGAACAGTGAGTTATCGATCGGACCAATGACTCGTGAAAACCCGTACAAGCAGTCTAGAGTCCTTATCGGTCCTGCTTACCGCCTAGCCCAGCCTGTTAAGTCCAGAACAGTAATCTCATCCTCTGAAATATGAATCATTTAATTCAAACATACTGGGTTTATATACCAACAAGACAGACCACATTGTACCACAAAATAGGAAACAACATTTGTACAAGAATTAGCCAAATATGGGTGTGAATAAGGGAGATAGTATAGACATAGTATAACTCAAGAATGGTAAATCGTACAATAACAGTTCATTGATCGAAATAAAGCTTATGATAAGAGAAACACGAATATGAATAGTTTAGTCATTTAACACTTATACGATAAAAATATACGCATTGTACTAGTCCATAAATGGGTTCCAAAAGTTACCATTCGTTATTCTCATCGGCATATAACAGCCATATTCAAAATACTTTTTCTTCAGGTTTTTAATCAAGAGATCAGATGCTTACATATTCTGAACACATTGCAAGAAGAATACATGGAAAAACCGAAGAGCTTACTACTATAAAATAAGTATCACTGTAATTTGTTTTTATAGAGAAGTCTTATATATTCAAATATAGAACGAGAATAAAAATGGTCTCCAAAGTTAAATCAACAGTATTTTGAATGCTAAAATGTCAAAGGAATATAACTACTATTATTCTAAAGTTGCGTCCAGTATAGCCGAAGTGCGCGCTAGTTTTTCAACCAAATCATTTATCATTAATAATTGCAACTCACAATAGTTACAATATGTGGTCGTACACTAGAAATCATCTAGCTAAATAACTGTTCACATTAATTCATTTTGCAATGGATGTTTGAATCCTCGCATTGACTCTTATTGGCATATATACATCCAGTGTGGATTACCCCGATACTGCCTTAAGTTACAAGCAATATAAGCAGGGATGGACAATGGCTGAGAGTGGAATCAAGGTCGCGCGTTTTGTCCTATTTCGAACTTTTCAGCCGTTTATAATGCTTGTAATTTAAAGTCATATCAAAAGTATACTCTCACTATCCACACATACTAACAAGAGACTGATAAATGGCAGACATAGACAACAATGATAAAATTAAAATAACTAACACACGATAAATTAAAGTTAAGGCGATTGCATAAGCTAGTAGCTATCTTGACTTGGTAGCTATGCGTATAACGCGCTATGGCGTTTTCACTGACCGGTATTGAGTTCAAATTTTGTATCAAATATCAACTCTAAAATGTAAGTACATCGATATAACTAGTCCTACATACGACAAAACGTGCATCCTCGATTCCACTGCTAGTCACTATCCATCTTTGCTGATAACACTATCAACATTAGTTCTAATTCTTTTCAATCTATACATAACACCAAGTGATTCATTAAAAGAATCATAACTGTGTTATACTATCTTTCGTAGACATTATTATAGAAACATATGTTTGCTCAAATATCGTTTGTTTTTTATTTCCTTCTATTGGATATTAAGTAATAAGTATTGAACCCACAATTTTTTCTTTTAATAATTGACAATTTGTTACTCTAAACTTAGGTTTTATTAAAATTATATCGTCACAACAATTTTTTCATTGAATGATTTCAATGGATATCTTAATTCCTATCTGTAAGGTTTTGTAAACGTACAAATGTGAGTGTATGTATCTTTATATATGTCTAACGATCGAAACTATCTATTAACCTTATTTCACCCCCTCATTTATAACTTCTTTTTACCCCCCTCATATATTCGTGTGTATCGTTGGAAAAATGTCGGTCAATTTGTTTTTTTTGTTTTTTTTAAAGTGGAACTTTTTTTTATTCTTCCCCATTTTCTTAAATATTGAATTAATGCTGAAATATGGTTACTATCGTTGTTTATCTACCTGTCTATCTTACATTCACTTTCTTATTTATAATTTCATTCATACACACATACAGACACATATACATCCATCCATGTGCACAGTATCAATGAGATGAAAAAAAGAGAGAAAATGTGAGAAGAAGAAATCTTCTCTTTTAACTAGAATATTTAGTTCGATTTTTACTTACTATTACCATTAAGTTAATTTATTGAGTTTTTATATGAAAGTAATGAACTGGAGCGTAAAAAAAGAATAAGTTTTATTATTGTTTCCAGCCTAAATAAGTAACAGTTATTAGAAAAATCTATTTCGATCATTATACATACTTGAATAATAATTACTGACATTACAATTTCGTTTATACTAGGAGAATTTTCTCGATCTGATACATCATTTACATTGTTATCTGTGATATCGATTATAGAAGGATTGAATAATTATGAATTATTGGTCTAGCCTAGCCTCTTGCCTGGGAGGTCTAGTCCACATTGGAATGCGGCAACATCAAGAGATGCAGTCACATGGTAGCTGAAGACCAAAATAGGTTTATGCACTATTCACCCTCTCAGGATCCTGGAGCCTATGTACATCAATGGTTTGGAAATGAGGTCTTTTCAAACGTCCTGGGTAGATCCTCCATATCTACTAAACCAGCTGAAGCACTGAATTTTATCTAATTGTCATCTCACCATCATAGAAAACGTTACCATGTGAAGATAGTAACTAGGACTTTCTTGATAGAGGCTATATACTCATGGAAACAGAAGAGCATTTAGTGAAGTAGAACAGGCTCTTTTCATCCTCAGGTGTTTCAGAACATTTGGAGACACTGAAATTGATTTTAAGTCATACCAGTTTGTATTTACAACCATTGATTTCCATCCTAATGACACAACCTACTGTCCTCCTCTACAAAACTTATACTAGTAGTTGCCAACTTCATAAAGGAAGTATCATAGGTTGTTCTGTCGATAATCAGACTTCATTACTAACCTACTTCAATTTCGACATCTTCCATCTGAAAATCCCTATGTCAATGGAAGATCACAAGCTGACCAACTTGCATGAAACTTATCATTTAATATGAACTTTGCTTCGTCCGTGATATTATTATACTCGATGAACTGTAGTAACATTAAAAACCTTGCATATTGACTCACCAATTCAAGGGATTATACCAAGGGATGGTAAAGTCAAAGTCAAACCAATTCTTGATCGAAATCATGAACTAATTGTTGTTAGACCGCCAGTGAAAACCTGGAAGTACTGGGCGACTGTTTCGTCCTATTGTTAGACTCCTCAGAAGTGCGCGGATTGGTTGAGGTTAGACATGAACACCATTAGCTGCCGACTCAGTGGTCTAGAGATTAAGTGTTCGCAAGCGAGACCAAAGGCCCTGGGTTCAGATACCTTGAACGGGATCGTGGATGTGCACTGCTGAGGAGTCCCGCAATAGGAAGAAATGGCCATCCAGGGCCTTCAGGTTTTCAATGGTGATCTAACATCAATCGGTTCATGGTCTTAATCAAAAACTTAACAATCTCCACAACCCTATACTGATAAAAGCAATTCATGGAATCGTTAAAAAAATACTATATTGATAAGTCTTAAAAAAATCTACGGTTAGTAGTATAGAACTTGACCGACTTCATTACCAACATGAAATTATCATGTAAAAAGTGCTTTAATTACAGTTAACACACTAGAGTTATTGAATATTAAGTAATGCAATATAATGTTGATAATCTGCTTCTTGTTTATGATATCAAGGAAATTGTTGAATTGATTAGTTTATACTTATGGGTTATTGACATAAATTTTTAGTTATCAAGCTTTTAAAGCATAAATACTAACCCGTATAACCTCATTGTGTATATCAAAGAAATCATAGCTATCTAAATAAGTTGTACAGTCAAGGTAGATACATAAAAGCTTAACAAGTTAGTCTTTGTAGCTATGTAAAACTTAAATCTAAATAAGCTTTCTTATATGTAATTCTTTATTTATTTAAAATCCTATACATTGTAAATCCTATTTCATATCCTTCTAAATCCTAAACATTACAATCAGTTCATTATTCATTTCATTTCTAGACCAATAGTTATACAAAATACCGTTAGGAAAAAGAAAGGCGATCGTATGATATTAATTTAGTCCAATATGTTACACACTCAAATAGAACAATTGTAGATTTGTTTATATACACTTAATTAACCATAAATATAAGAATCTATAGTTTGTGATATATGTAACAGGACTACTTTACAATTCGACTAAATAAAAACAACAATAACAACAACTATAAACTCTAATTTACAGTGTCTAGTATTCTAATAATTGAAAATATACATAAACACTGAACAACGTATATCGTCCAGTAATACCATTGATAATACACTATTACTTACTCATTTACGCCTGTTACTCCTCGTGGAGGAACATAGGCCGCTCTTCTAAAGTTACTGCCGGTCCCAGGCCTGGATAAAGAAGAAGGGTTGGGCACGGGGTTAACTACCCCATCCCGTAGAAAACTAACTCGCTAAAAAAACGCTAACTAGAAAAATAATTGATAATACACTAAGGAATATATATACATATTCATTGAATAATTAGGTATGACTTTCATAATCAACTTCTAGAATTCAATTTTTCCAAACGAGAATCTTAATTTTTATTCAAACAGTTTAAGAACTAAAAATTTGCCTAGTTAAAAATTTTTTCCTTTTCGTTCTGTTTGATATTCATTGCTAGCCACTATCCAACTTTGTTTAAAAAGCTTATGACTTAAGGCTTTATCGAGGCAATCCGCATATGATGCCTATATACCAATAAGTGACTGATCAATTGCAGTCTTAAATAACAAGTGGAAGATGCAAGGCAAACAACACTAAGTGAATTTGATTTATAGTTGTTTGGAAATTCATTAGTCACAATATATTTTCAGAAAGTAGAGTTTTTCGAGATGGTGGAGAAGATTTGTAGCTCACCTGAAGTAGAGTTTTTCCTTAAACGGTTTCATTAAAGTATAAAGAAATATTTGTTCGTTTTACAATTTATGAAATTTCATTAAAGCATATACAGTCGAGGCTTAATTAAGTTCGTTGGTGGGTGGTTCAGTTTTAAGTGTTCCTTGTAGTGTGTGGTTGTCGACACCTTGGTATGATACTTCTTAAGGTACACGAAAAGAAAAGTAGATTATTACTGATCTTGGTGATTTGGAAGTGTAATCACTGAGTTCAAGGGACAACTGATTGAGACCGGTCATACATGAATTCTTAGTGAGTTCTTGATGTGTTAGTTTCTTACTTTCTAGATCTTACTGTCAGCAGTGAAAATCTGTGGGCGAAGTTGCGTGTAGCAACTCCGGTACCGATCTTTCCTGATTCCATCTTTCCGTTATGAGGAAGAAAAATCACTACTGATATTTTTTCGTTTGAGAAGAATACCTTAATTCCTACACATTATAAAATACAACCAGCAGTACGACTTCTCCTTCAAGCCTTAAGTTGATTCTTTTAATCTTACCATCCTACAACCAATCTGATAGTTAAGGTAGGGTGTAAACGAACAAATGTTTCAGACAGTATATCCTAACTGGACCACTACAGTGGATAACCCAAGCTACCATATCAACGCAGCAGCTACAAGCCTGTATATAGTTCAATTGCTTTATAAAGTAAACATATGATAGCAATATAAATCCAAATCTAAATACAAAAATAAACCTAAAGATTCTGACTTTGATTCCTGTATTTGATATTTGATGCGCGTTGATGAAGTACGTTATGAAATCAAGCCTTGAATAATCATTTAATTCTAAATTTCGAAAAAAACTTTGTTGATCTATGTCAATTGAAAAAAAGGCATTTCTAAACACTTTAAAAGAGTTCACTTGCTATTGTTTTACTTATATCTTCCCATTGTTATTTAGGACTGCAATTGATCAGTCACTTATTGGCATATGTGCATCTTGTGCGGATCGCCTCGATATAGCCTTAAGTCACAAGCTTTTTAAGCGAAGATAGATAGTGGCTAACAGTGTAACCCAGGATGCGCGCCACTTCATCCTATTTGGGATGAAGTCAGCTGGATGTACCTGCGTCTCAGAGTTGATGTTCACTCCGGGACTCAAACCCAGCACCGTTCGCTTTAAATGCTATCGCGTTATCCACTTAACTACTGAGTCCTGATAGCCACCTGCTTGTGCAATGGGGTGAAGTTTAAGTTCACTTGGTGTTATTTTACTTGTATCTTCCCATTGTTATTTAGGATTGCAATTTATCAATCTATTGTTTGCATATGTGCATCGTGTGCGGACAAAACGCGCGTCCTATATTCCACTGTTAGACACTATCCATCTTTGCTTAAAAAACTTTTAATGAAGGTTAAAATGTTTCTAATCTTCATATGATAGTGAAATTCTCTATGGATTATGATTATTTGTTTCTGGTTGATTATTTTTTGTTCTCTTTCATCATCAATCCAGATTTAAAACGTGAAGCGAGTATATGCCACCTACTGAAGCATCCACATATTGTTGAATTAGTAGAAACTTACAGTAGTGATGGAATGTTATACATGATATTTGAATAGTAAGTCTTTTTCTTCATCACTGTTTTTTTCGTTTTGTACGGATTTTATGGTGGTAAAGGGAATAAGTCAGTCAGTCGGCTATATCGTACGACCAGACACACATATGCATCGGTCCAAGTTATCATACCTCATTAGCACGACAAGATGAACAGCGAATTCATTAAAATAGTTACTTCAATGGTAGATTGTGTATAAGGACATACAGGAAGAAAAAATTAGTTGGTAGAAAGAAAGATGTGAAGCGATTTTAATGTCCTAGTTTAAAGGAAGACAAAGCGTGTATACACCTATGCCAATATGATCGATTCTGAGCCAAAGGGAATAAAATAAAATGAAACTATGATTTGATCTTTTTCAGGGTTACTAGTTAATGAACATCTAATTTAGTAATTTAAAAGTTTTCATAGAATATTCAAAAGTAAAGAAGATTGGAATGAATAATTGTCCTCAATAATTTCACCATTCTACTCTACCATCCATAATTATTGTGGAATACAAAAGCCAAAATAGGAGATGTATTAATGAATTAAACAATATTATAAGTTTTAAAAATAAGGTGTTGTACGTTTGCTTCTGTTACAACTTAAATACTTCGAATATGTATCATTTGTAAGTTATAAAAGGGTAGGAGAATTGGCTGTGAGGATGCTTTTTTTAATGTATGTCCTATCCACTTCTAGCGTTTCTTTTTGATTTCTCCCTCCGCTGGGGTTTACAATATATAGGTTGAATATGTGATGATCCAGTCGTGAATCAAGGTAAACATAAAGTTCGAACATTCTTCTTTTGAAAACATAAGTCAGATCTTTTGCAGTTGCTCTCCATGACTTCTGCTATGTAGATGAGTCATAATCTTGATCATTGAGGTAGATTTTTTGGGATACAAAATCGTGAAGGCTTGATCTATTTTAATGTGTCCAGTATATATCAAGTGTGAAAGGATGGCGGTGTTAATAAATCTTGTGAAGCCTTTCTCTATTCATCACAGTAAGTGTTTACGAGCACAAGAGTAAATGTATTTGAGTACAGCTTATGTAACTATCTTCACAAGAGCAGTTGGGTTGGTAAACACATATGAGGGAGCCTATTATAGGTACTCTATCCTCAGTGGTCTAGAGGCTAAGCGTACGCGTGGGATCGAGCAAAACTGCTCTCACCGACGCGTTGTAAACCCGACCTTTTACGGCCAAACTAACATCACGAAGGCGCCAAAGGTGACCCAGATTGGCATAAGCCGCTCTGGCTTTCACTATACGTGCATTGATCTCATCACTCACACCCCCACCAGCACTTATGCAGCTACCCAGATACACGGACTTCTCGACTACGTCTATCTGCTCACCATCCAGGGTGAGTACAGGATTGGAATCCTGTCAGTCTTGTAGAAGTACTTTGCACTTCGAAGGTGAAAAGCACATACCATACCTACGGACACTGATTGCCAACTGATTAAGTGCGGATTGCATGCCTTGAGCATTATCGCACAGTAAGACAATATCGTCCGCATACTCAAGGTCGAGAAGTCTTTCTCCAGGCAACAGATCCACACCACCATTACTTACATTCATCAGAGCTGTTTCCAGAATGTCATCGATGGCAAAGTTGAAGAGGAATGGTGAGATTGGGCAACCCTGCCTAACCCCACCACTCGAATGGAACAATGGAGAGAGGTGGTTGTATGCCCTCACTCTGTCTGAGGTGTTTGTATATAGGGATTTTAGGATGTTAATAAACTTCTCAGGCACACCCTTTTTCAATAGACAATCCCAGAGAACAGTCCTGTCCAACGAATCGAAGGCAGCCCTGATGTCAAGAAACACTACGATTGTTGGCCTTTGATAAGTATGGCGGTGTTCTAACATTTGGCGGAGGGTGAAGATATGATCAATACATCCTCGACCAGAACGAAACCCAGCCTACTCCTGGAGAGTCAATCTTTCTCGGGTTTTGAACAACCTACGAAGTATGACGGAAGCCAATAGCTTGGACGCAATCGGAAGTAGACTTATCCATCGATAGTTGTTGCAGGAACGACGTGAACCCTTTTTAAAAATAGGGACAACTATCGACTCATTACATGACGTTGGTACACTCTCTAGTTCATAAACCTTTGTAAACAACGTTCGCAGATTTTTTCACTCACACAAGACTTCTTGCTGCCAGTGGCTCAGATGAGCTGGAAGAGCTTCCGGTAGTTACCAGATGCAGCTGCTGCTTCCAGCTCATTAGCACGCTCCGACCACCAGGCTTCTCGATCCTTACGCAAGCTTTGCCCAATTTCCTTACGTAACATCCTTCGTTTATGGTCAAACTCACGGTCACCCGGAGTAGACCGACGGGCTTCAATAAGTTGTAAGGAACCAGAAGAAACCCAGTGCTTAAAAGCGGGACGTTTCGCAAACCCACAACTGACTGTTCCCACCATTTTTATGGCGTCATGCAATTGCAACCAATGCTCATCTATACTTTTCGGTGGAGTGGTAGCTAGCCTAGAGGCTAGCTCGGTTCGATACTTATTTGCAACAGAAGTTGCAACCAGCTTGCTAATATCAATCCTTTGCTTGCGGTCACTTCGTTGTCCACTGAAAAGTAAGGCAAGATTGGCGCAGACCAATGCATGGTCAGAGTCCAGGTAGGTACTCCAAAAGGAGCGGCAGTCTTTTACACAACCACGTCAGCGGTAGATGATCGCGATGTGATCAATCTGAATCCAGGCTTGGGATGCAGAGGGAGGATGCCAGGTGGCACATCGGCGATGACTGTACCGAAAGTTAGTGCTAGCCAGAAACAGGTTGCTGTCTGTGCAAAGTTGCAGTAGACGGTCCCTATTATCTGACCTGCGACCAACGAGTCCTCATCGGCCACCTAAACGACTCTCTTCTGTGCCTAGACGCCCGACCTGAGCATTCAAGACTCAAGCTAGTACTACAATATCTGTCGAACGCACTTTCTGGAGAAGAACAGATAACTGGTGGTAAAACTCATGCTTGATTGCATCCGGGCTGCGATCTGTCGGGGCATAGGCGGAAATGACGAAAAGACATCGTTTCTCACACCGATTTCTTCTCACTTTGATGAAACTTTCTAATCTAACAGCACATGACCGACTGTTAATGGGGATCCAATCGACTAGTGCTGCCTCAGCTCTAGCGCTTAGTGCGACACCAACGCCAGCAAGACCAGACGAATATGCCACAGGGTCCCCGGATAAGCGCACGTAAAACAAGCTTTTTGAAGTGACAGATGTACAGCGAATTTGTAGAATTTCGCCAGAGTCTTGAATACGGGTCTCGGATAGACAGCAAACATCGATATGAAGACTTTCCTAAGACATAGCCAGCCCTATCTGTTGACCAACCTGCATAAGTGTGCGAACGTTGAAGGCAGCCAGTTTGAATGGCGCACGTGGTTTCAGAAAAGCTGCTTCAGTACTCATATTCGATGGTAACATACAATTTTCAACCGGACAGTGACTCGAGAACGTTTAGATACAGTCGGATTTCCACCAAAGACGAGCCGCTGTATAAGTATAAAAAAGGGTTAATAATGTGGAAAATGATAATAATGATAATAATAATAAAAATAATAGTAATAATAACAGTATTATTAATGACAATAATAGTAATGATAATTATTTGAATTGACTGATTGTTTTTCGGAGCGAGAAAAGTAGTTGCCATAGACATAGAGTTCATCGTTTGTGTGTGGGCTGTGATACTGCCCGGGTGCCCAAACCGAAGCAGGTGGTTATCTTAGGGGGCCACTCCCCGAGCCTTTGACCTAAAGGTCTAACCCACAAGGCAGTGGAGCATCGTAAGGAGATGCAATCCCATGGTAGTCGGTGACCAACGATTGATTCATACGCCATTTGTTCCCTCAGGATACTGGAGCCCATGTGCACCATTGGTTTGTGACCCGGTTAAAGCGCCGGACATTCGCTTTTCGTCCTCTCATTTTCGTAAACAACACCTCGGCCACGAGAAGGCAATGAGTAGGACTTTCCTGGCAGAGGCTGTATACGCGCGGCCGTGTGAGAGTATTTCGAGAGGGAGAGCGGACTCGAGAGGATACGACTGGAAAAAAGCTTCATTTCCATTGGGCTCTGTGTGGTCTGGACGCAATTGTAAGAAAGCAGTTGTATGACTCATCTCTCTACCTTATCCGACTATCGACTAGTTAGCTTATATTCTCAATTGAACTAGTGACCTGTTTCCCAATTGACACAGACCAGTAAACAACAACCAAGGCTTTGATGCTTTTTAGTCCTTAAGCTTCTTTTAACATAGTGCCTAGTCAGAAGAAGATGATAAAATGGAGATTAGTTCTATGTTGTATTCTATTCAATAATGGCTCGAAATTTATAAGATGATATATCGAGAAGTTTTAATCACACAGTAATACAATTAAAGAATTCCGCTATGTACATAACAGTCATCAGTAATACAAAACTAGGGTAATGGAGAACTAATAAATGATAAATTAAGAACCATGAGACATTATAATTATTTCTAAGTCAATTTAATGCTTATAAATGGAAATATCTAAAAATACAATATAATAACCGTCTACTAATTACACAATGAAAATGTCAATAGTAATTTTTCGTGTCATAGTCTCTCCAAAGTTGTAATTTCACACCGGTATCTCTATTGTAACATATATGTATATATAGTAATTTAATAGTTGAATTCATGAGTCAATGGAAGCTAGACCACTGGATGGCTGTTTCGTCCTAGGAAGGAACTCCTCAGCAGTGCGAATCAACCATCCCACCTTGCTAAATTCGAACCCAGGTCCTATCAGTCTCGCGCGCGAACGTTTAACCTCTGGACCATTGAACCGGCCGGTATCTAACGTTGTTAATATCTGAATTCAGCCAATCCACGAAATTGGGTGACACATCAACCATTGTCTTCAGTGAGTTACTATCACACAACAGACCCAGTCGAACTCTACTGGTCACTGCTTCTCACTAGAACTCCAGGAAACCATCACTAGTGAGCATATGATGAACATAATCGGAGAGGGCTTCTGTGGATATTATTAATTTAATAGTTGAATTCATGAGTCATTTGAAGCTAGACCGGTATGGATAAACACTGCTGAGTAGTCCTATATTTGAACGAAACAGCCATCCAATGCTTGTAGGTTTTCCATTGTGGTCTAGCCTCAACTGACTCATGAATTCAACAAAACCCCTCTCTGATTATATATGTAGTTTTAATTTAGAAAACGTTTATTTTAATTGTAAAAAAGAGTTAGCTACAACTGAATTTTAGTCTAAGCAACACAATAGACCAGAATAATCAATAACATTTCAGTCATAGTTAATACATAAGAATAAAATTAAAACTGTCAGATATCACAGCTACTATATACCCATTAAATCAATCAATTTAGTTGACATTTTGCTAAATTTATCTAATTTTTATAACGAATATGTTTTTTTTTTTACATCTATGGTAAATAAATTTTGTCCAGTTGTTCACAAGAAACAAAATAACTTTGCTTGGTATTGTTTGTTTGAATCTTCCCGTCGATATTTAAGACTACAATTGATTAGTCTCTTATTGGCATATGTGCATTCTATGCATACTGCCTTGATATAGCCTTAATTCACAAGCATTATATACTAAGACGGATTATGGCTAGCAGTGGAATCCTGGAGGAGTCACAAATAGGACAAAACGAGCATCCTATATTCCACTGCTAGCTACTATCTGTCTTTGTGTAAAACAGAATAAAGTTTATTTATAGATTTTTCAAGGAATTTATAATCTTGAGAACATTTTTCATGACATTTAAGATAATTAATTTTTATAATCAAAAAAGGGTTTTGTGGATATTATAGTAATTTAATAGTTGAACGGTTTCGAGGTTAAGCGCTCACTTGCAAGACTGTGATATTTCTTGAGTTCGAATCTCGCGAGGAGGGATCGTGGATGCGCACTGCTGAGGAGCCTCATACTAGGATTAAACGGCATTCTAGTACTTCCAGGTTTTTCATTGTGGTCTAGCTTCAATTGACTCAAGAATTCAACTATTAAAAAAAATACGTACTTTTATAGAAAATATTTTAACAATATTTAGTTCTAGATAAACTTATATGATTAGTAGAAATGGATGTTATTAAAACAATTGACCATTTGACGTAAACGTTTCTTTCTGATCGATTGCAGTCTTAAATAACAATGGGAAGATAGAAGTAAACAACACCAAGTGAATTTAAACTTCGCCCTATAGCACAGGCAGATGGCTACGAGGACTCAGTAGCTAAGTGGATAACGTGGTAGGGTTTGAAGCGAACAGTACTAGGTTCGAGTCCCAGATTGAACATCAACTCTGAGATGCAGGTACATTCAGCTGACGAGTGGCAAATAGGATGAAGTGGCGCGGGTCCTGGATTACACTGCTAGCCACTATTCATCTTTGCTTATTAGGTTTTTTGTTTAATATTGCTTGTTTGGTATGAACATTAAACCAAATCGTAGATTATTTAACTGTATTAAGCACAAGGATTAATCGTAGGAAATCTAATTGCTTTATAATTATGCTTTTCTTTTCTTAAAGTATGAAAGGTGCTGATTTGGCATTTGAAATTGTGAAACGTGCAACAGCTGGCTTTGTTTATAGTGAAGCAGTGGCAAGGTTAGTATATCATTTTGTACTTCAGTATGTTGTATACTACTAAGAGGATTAGCAATGATTGTCATTTATCTAGTTACAAAATTATTTAGTTGTATTATCATCAATTACTCTGGCTGTATTCTTTTCTTGATGTTTTGAAGTAAATATAACTATAATCTGCATGTAGATATTTACGTGACATTTAACATATCTGTAATGAAGTAGTGTTTGGTAAAAGCTGTGAACCGAAGTATTGTATTATTTACCACTTATCAAGAAGAAATATCTACAAAATCAATGCACTTAATACGTCCGCTTAGCATACCAATATACATCAGTCTCTGTCTTTGTCAGGACCTCTGCTGTTAAGATAATTGTGTCTTGATTGAATTTCTATAGAACTGAAATACCTAAACGTTTTAATCAGTGAGTAGTTACTAATGTTGTATTATTTCAGAATCGAATTTCTGTATAGCGAGTGTAGACTTGATTCTAGGTAACGCAACATTGCAGTGTACTTTGTGTGGCATCAAGTGGTTTTTGATGCAGTCGTAAGGAAAACTCTTGCTCGTTTAAAATCGATAGTCAAGTTTATCCTGTCTTAAGACTAGTGATTTGCCACCTCATTAGCATTCTAACTAGTATCATGATCAATAAAAAGTAGATCTGCTTTCTAACTATAAGATTAAAGGTTTGAGTATGATTGTGTTTGCTTTAAATCTCTTACACTGAACAAATTATATGAGCTGTACTCTTTATAGCTGAAATGTTAAACATAGTCCTATAATCTTTTTGTGTTTAGGTATAATGGGCAGGAAAGCCTGTAGTTTTGAAAGAACTGATACTTCCTGTGTGATTCGAGCTCAGGTCAACCAGTTTCCTAATCCATGATCTCACAAACAGTACATGAGGTCAGTCTCAGTCCGAGTGACTCAATGGTAATGTCTTTAAATATGAAGCTGACTGACCCAGGTTCCAATCCCACGTGTAAATTCAGTTCCCTCGAGATTTCAGGCACGTCTTGATAATGGATGTCAACTTACTCGAAACCTAGATATAGGCCTTCCTCAAGATTACATTCTACTACCTATTATTCTAATATTTATTTACTAAGAAAAGGTGTATCAAAAGTTCATTTCTCTTCTATTTATGTAATTTAGTCATTATCTACGACAAATTCTAGAAGCTATACATTATTGTCATGAGAATAATATTATTCATCGTGATTTAAAACCACATTGTGTTGTCTTAGCAAGTAAAGAGAATTCAGCACCTGTAAAACTTGGCGGTTTTGGTTTAGCTATACATCTAAATTTGGATACAAATCAAGTGAATGGAGGTATGATGATAATTATTTGTATTATCCTTTATAGTTTTAATACTCTTGTCATTTCCTAATAATATTATATAATAAATACTTATAAAAAATAGTTCTTTTATGGTAATACCTAGTTTGTCAATAAAATATATTTAATCAGAAGGGGTTTTGTGGAGATTTTAAAGGAGTTTTACACTAGGAACAAACGGCTGTTCAGTGCTTCCAGGTTTTCCATCGTGATCTAGCTTCAATTAACTCATGATCTCAACTGCTGAAATTACTTTAATCTCCACAAAACCCCTTCTGATACTAATTAACATATGCTCACTAGTGATTGGCTTCTAGAGGTATATCCTGGAGTTCTAGTGAGAAGCAGTGACCAGTGGAGTTCAACCGGGTCAGTTGTGAAATAGTAGCTCACTGAAGACTATGGTTGATGTGTCGCTCAATTTCGTGGATTGGCTGAAGTTAAACATTAAACCATTGGATGCCGGCCGGCTCAATGGTCTAGATGTTAAACGTTCGTGCGCGAGACTGATAGGACCTTAGTTCGAATTTCGTGGGGCGAGATCGTGGATGCGTACTGCTGAGGAGTACCACAATAGGATGGAACAACCATCCAGTGCTTCCAGATTTTCTATGGTGGCCTAGCTTCAATTGACTCATGATCTCAACTGTTGAAATTACTACAATCTCCACTAAACCCCTTCTGATATTAATTAATTCTTAAGTTTTCCAATCATAACAAGATAGGAGTTGATCATTTCTATTATGAGAAGTCAGCTATATTCATATAGCATATATATGCGCCGAAACAAGTCGCTGCATGATTTAACTACATAGAAATGAAGTTAAAAAGATGAGTAATCAACCAAGGGCCTAAAATAACATTATCCTTGGTAGTAAGAAAACTAAACATAAAAAATATGGTTGAGATCAAGAAAGTTTCTCAAGTAATAAAAATTATAAGGTAGTACTGAAAGCCAAGATTTAGGGGAAGACAAAAAGTGAATTCATCTGTCTCACTTTAACTGATTCTGGACTTTATCGTATGATGTCACCAAATACTCAGCACCGTCACCGCGGGTACCCCAAACATACAGGCTTCACGTAACAACACGTTTTAGGTCAACAGTTAATGGCTTTATAGGCTCATTATAAGTTTTATTTTGATCTGTTCTAGCTTTCTTCGAATCTACTCATGTCAGCGTTACACGCTAATGTATGATGTGGTTGAATATGTGTGACACTTGTTCCACTCACCTCATCAGTTGATTTGCTATTTGTCTATACTATTTTGCTTTTAATTTCAACATTGGTCACTAATTCGTCCTACCTTTTGTGAATAATGGTGAGAAAACATGCACAATCAAATATATGTAACCTCACTTTCAAAGACCACAACTCTTAATCATGAAGGAAGCGGTTTCAGATTTTTGCTCAAGTTAGATTTTTGTCAAAGTTTTGTCGATCGTGATGAGACTACGATCATTGGCACTTGATTAACACAACAACCAAGGGTTGAGGGGTTTGCAAAACGGAAACATTTCAAATTTTACACAACACCAAATATGATAATAACAAAAAGGTTATTCCTTTGCAAACAGTTCTTCACTATCTCCATAAAAAATAATCATATAACACAAAATATACCTATAATTAGAGCTGAAAATTAATCTTGAAGAATAATATGAACGATCAACAATAAGGTTCATTAAAAGATAGTGTAACCCATACATAAGGAGAAAAAATTATCCAGAAAAGTAATTACTAAATAGAGAGAACTGATTCTTTCTGCGGAGCTCGAATTCATATAACCGGATTTCTTATTTATGGACATAAATGATATACTTTGAATGTTAGACTAAGATATTTGTAATAATAAATTGTTGCCTTCAGTCTTCAAAGGCATGAACAGAAGGCCAGGTGACCTGTATTAACCTTTGTGTTAATATAACGGGATGGCAAAGGTGGTCTTTTTGGTCCACGGGTTACATCGGTCACCCATTGAGGTTAGTTCAATTTTTAACTCCAGAAACTACAATATTATTGCATGACTGTTATAATTTTCTGTCATAATGCCTTGTCAATCATGTTTGTCTTACTTATCCCTTTCATATTACTTCTGTGTTGTATATTAAAAAAAAACTCCTACAGATTCACCAATAACGGTTGATCAAGAAATTTTTGTTTCTCTACGTTCTGATCAGTGTGGTAAGTGAAAATGTCCCTCTCCTCTTTCATTATTATTATGACAAAATATAGGTAAAACTGATTATTTCTTGTTTGTATTACAAATTGTGATATCAGTTGAATGATTTATTACCTTTGAGGGTATATAAATAGTGAATTTATTTTATCATAGAGCATACAAAGCGCTAGGAATATTTCGACAGTCTTCGTGATTGAAACATAAGATAATACTTTTATCCATATTGAATTGACCCCCTTTTATGCTCCATGTAATCATTATTGTTATGGTTGAATATGTACGTGAGCGTTTTTGTATACCTGTGCTCTGAATTTCTGTTCGTTCTTTCAACTGTTCCTGTGGTAAAGTTTGATAGTAAGGTTATTACTCTTTATTGAGTATAATTACAATTATGGCTCAGTTGTTGAAGGCGATTAGTAATAAGTCTCAGACTGGTACTCGTTAGCAAAATGCAGCGAAAATGCAGCAGTGGTTGACATATTTTTCTTTTTGTCTATCCTTTGATAGAATGTGTAGTAGTTATGTTAAAATTCATTCCTTTAAAGCACAGTAGAGTTGTTCCTCAATATGTTATGTAACCTATACGATGAAAATACTTGTTAGGTAAAAACTGATTTCATTTATGACGAGTGTCGATAGAAAAGCAATACCCAACTGAAACTTCTCATATCAAACATTGTAATGATGAACTCCTATTTTCTCATACTTTAGGTCGCATTGGAACTCCACATTATATGGCTCCTGAAATGATTCGTCATGAACCATATGGAAAAGCTGTAGATGCATGGAGTTGTGGTGTTTTATTGTTTCTTCTACTTAGTGGTTCTTTACCGTTTTATGGAACACGCGATATTTTATTTACACAAATAGTCTCTGGACGTTATCACGTATGCTCCTGTGTTTTATTTTAAGATATCCAAATATTTTGGTTTTATTGTTGATTATGTATATTATATATATAAAGTCACAGAGTGCTGACCAACAATTTTAGGTTCCTATATAGGCGCATCCAGTACTCTAAATGTGATCAAACCTATGACGCACAGGTTTAACAGAAAGCACGATATTTTAAGGCGTTTGAATTACGTTATAATTATCCACAAATCTAACTTCATTTAGTTCATGATAGACCACGATTACTATGCAATGTCAGCGATAGTGATTTCTTGATTCTCGAACCCCAAAGTTTACAGTCGTAATTGTTGATCCTGACATTTTGGCTACTTAATTTTATTCACTCGACTAGATTTAGTGTAAATAATTTAATATTTTAAACAATCGAATCCCCCTCAAAAGCAATCGTTTAAACCACTGAGCTTAGTTTTCTTTTTATTTTCCACTTGTTAGCGATGAGTATCACCTATATAACTCAATGATAACGTCCCTAGATATGACAGGCAAGTTGAAATGGTTGCGCCACCATACAACGAATTTGATTTTCCTCAAGTTTATAGATACTGATTAATGTTAGCATTGCTTATTGTCTAGTTTACCAGTAGAGACCTGTTAATAAAGTTGAGAAATATAAAACTGACGATATTTTGCTAATGATTTTTTCTCTCTAATTTTTTTTATAGCGTCAACCTCAAGTATGGAATATGATATCACCGGAAGCAAGAGATTTAGTATCACGTTTATTAGAAGTGGATCCAACACAGAGATTAACAATTGAAGAAGCATTACGTCATCCATGGATTAGTCAAAAAGCTCGTGCATCTAAAACACATCTACATGAAACAGTTGAAGAAATGAGACGTTTTAATGCTAGGCGCAAACTTAAGGTAATTTTATTCGGTATTTTGTGTACGAATTTTCTTTTACCTGTCACTTAAAACAATATACGATTCTGAATAGTGGAAAACATAAAAATAATTTGAAACTTGACGCTAATATATTTATTCTGATAGTTACAATTCCTTACAATAGATCCATGGTTTACAATGATTGAAGTAAATTCTTACATTGTTCGCTCTCGTTTTCGACCATAGAGCCTATGTACACCATTGGTTTCAAATCGGTGGTTCTCCGTTTTCATCAATCTGATCTGTGCACTTAAAATATACATTCCCTCATCTCAATTTTTAAAAACACTCCACATCACTTGAATACTATGAACTAAACTCACCCGATAAAAGGTTTAAATGAGCCGTGGTATACGAGCACTTAGACAGGGTGTTAGGTCTTTGGGATAGCTGGCCAATATCACGAGCCAAGTCAACAATCAAAATTCTGATTCTAATTTGGTCCATTTCGCATCTCTTTTTTCCTCGATAGCCTGGTGTGTCCAAATTCAGCAATCACACTTCCGACAAGAACTATTAATCTTCAGCCAACAGCTAAGTCCTAATAAGTTCATCACAAGCTTCTCTCTATGTCCTACCTTAGGTTTAAAAGTCAAAAACCAGTTTCCACTATAATTATATATATACAGACATACAGGAACGTATCACATCACGAACTGAAAAGTAACAAATATACCTGAACAAGCCAAAAGTGGCTCTGAATGGGGAAGGTGTGGGTAATGGAGAGGTAACAAATTAGGAATAGTAAGTCGTATGACTGTAGCTAATGCGTCAACAAAAAACTTATAATAAACGGAATACATAGACACAGTAATCTTATTACTCAATAATTATACGATAAGAATATGTGTAATAATAATGTATCAGCAGCCTCAGTGGCAGTAGGTTTCAACATACACAAAGGGTAAAGCAAGATTCTGCGATACAATACAGAATGCAACATTCGAACCATTACATATCTGGTCAGCATCATTGATGAACACGTTGGATCTGATGCAGATGAGAAGGCGTGGATCGGCAAAGCAAGAGCAGCATATTTACAACTGCGGAACATCTGGAACTCAAAGCCACTGTCAGCCAACACCAAAGTCAGGATTTTCAATACAAATGTCAAGACAGTTCTACTGTATGGGGCAGAAATCTGGAGGACTACAAAAGCCATCACCCTGAAAATACAGGTGTTTATTAACAGTTTTCTACGAAAAATACTTCAGATCCGTTGGCCAGACACTATTCGCAACAACCTACTGTGGGAGAGAACAAACCAGATCCCAGCGGAGGAAGAAATCAGGAGGAAGCGCTGGGAGTGGATAGGATACACAGTGAGGAAAGCACTCAACTGCATCACAAGGCAGGCCCTCACATGGAATCCTCAAAGCCAAAGTAAAAGAGGAAGACCAAAGAACACATTACACTGGGAAATGGAGATAGACATGAGAAGAATGAACAAAAATTGGATGGAATTAGAAAAGAAGGCCCAGGACAGAGTGAGTTGGAGAATACTGGTCAGCGGCCTATGCTCTATTGAGAGTAACAGGCGTAAGTAATAATTGTGTATAGGTTAGTTTCGAGAGTTACCATTCTGCCAATCGTCGTTCTGATATAACATTAAAGAAAATAGAGTATTCACATCCGATCCAACACTAATCCATTTATTTTAATCCTGATTAACATTATTGATCCAAAATAAATTTCCATTAAATGAGTTATTAACAACACATTGTCTTGAATAATTCTACGATAATATCTGTCTTGTTATTGGTCTTGTGAATTTTTTTTCAAATTTGATTCTCCAGGTTAACATTTTTCGTTTTATAAAGTTGTTTTTTTAATAGTTAGCGTCTTTTTTTGGCCCTATACCCAACCCTCATCCTTTACCCGGGCTTGGGACCGGAAGTAACCTAAGAGGGGCTCTAAACAGAATTAGAAAGTTGCGTTACCAGTCTATAAAATAAACAATCTTGAAATAGATCTTTTTCCCCCCTACAGATGAACTCCTTACTTTAAGTCCATAAAATAATTAGTATTATGAATATTAAATAAGTGAAAACAGTAAATATGATTTTTTTTTTTTAAAAAGAGATGAAGTAGTGAAAAAGAAAATTTGGTAAGGAGTTTATTTTAGAGTCAGGGTTTTAGATTGTTTAAAGAAGTGAAACAAAAGATGAAATAAATACAATACACTTACATTTGGTTGAGTATTAAATAGTTGGATTTAAATCCTTAGTACGTTTAGTACTTAAATGCTTAACAATGACAATTTCTTAATGATTTTTAATCTGTCTAGGAATCTCTTAAATTTGAGGCTTAATCAATATCAGTATAGGGATATGGAGATTATTAGGTTACTGACTGAGATCATGAACCGATTGATGCTAAACCACCATTAAAAGCCTGGAAGCACCAGATGGCCGTTCTGTCCTATTGTAGGACTCCTCAGCAGTGCGCATCCACGATCCAGCCCTTAATATCCGAACCCAGGGCCTTCGCTCTCGCGTGCAAACGCTTAATCTCTAGATCACTGAGCCAACATCCAACAGTGTTAGGCGTGCTTCCAGGTTACCATGTGCTCACTAGTAACTAGCTTCGTAAGGGAATTCTCGGAGTTCTAGTGAGAAATTGTGACCAGTGGAGCTGATCCGTATCTTGTCGGGACAGATACCTACCTCAGTACAATGGGAGATGGTCGCGCAATTTCATGGATTGGTTGAGGTCAGACATTAACCCCGTTGGATGCCGGCTCAATGGTCCAAAGGTTAGGTGTTCGCGCGCGAGACCGATATGTCCTGGGTTTGAATCCTGCGAACGGGATCGGGGATGCGCACTGCTGAGGAGTGCCACAATAGGATTAAACGGCGTTTCAGTGCTTCCAGGTTTTCCATAATGGCCTAGCTTCAACTGATTCATGATCTCAACTATTAAAATTACTTTCATATCCATAAAACCTCATCTGATATTTTATAAATGTTGATTTTCAGCTTTACTACAATTCGAATTAATCGGATATATGGCTTTTTTTTGCCATTATACTCCTTTTCTGTTTCTTATATTTATGGTGAATGTCACTCGGTATCGTTGCTTATTTCATTTCATGGATGTTTTCCACATCAATGAATATTTAACAAATTAGTCAAAGAAAGCTTTAGCTTCAAACATTTCTCTTTTTTGTAAATTTAATAATTTCAAAATTCATATTTTCATTGGTAACAATTTGAATGCATGCCCGATTTTTGTATTTTCTTTTTTATCCCATTTTTGCAATCATTCTGTCTTGTCCAATTAAATGACTAGTTTTACATACGTTATAATTGGTTATTTATTTATTTTTAAAAATTGACGATTTCTTAAATTGGATGATAATATCGTACAAAGTACAAGTTCTGTTGTTTCTCACATGGTCATTGAAACAGATAACATGTTCTTGAATATATTGTATCTGGTAGCGTTTCAATCATTTGAAAGCGTTAAAGAGAGCACCATAAAACTTATGAACGGTGGAAGCATACTGCCACTATGCGGTACGAGTTTTTCATTTCCATAGAGATCAAAAGTCGTATATGAAATTTGTAGGTTGTAAAAATGGTCATAGGACACCTAGAGGATCCTTACAGAAGATTAGACGAAGGAGAGAATCTCATTATTGTTATTATCTTGTTTATGAAGGACTTCAAAGAACATTCAATATCCGGCCTTCATCTTTTGTGAGTTTATTAAAGGTTAGTGAACCTTCTCCAAAAAATTTCATCAATTGTTCGTGTAGTTTTTGCATTGAAAACGAATTGCCATGTTGTCATGTTTTGGCCTACAATACACACACTAATGCTGTGTGGCGCGATTTCCAAACCGAGCTGGTGTTGTGATCACTGGGTAAGTGATGGTGAGGTTAGAAGCAGTGTATTAGTGAATGATGGGGAATCAGTTGATGAGATCGTGAATCTTCATCTACTGAGATGGTCGGGCACGTGTTACGTATGCCTGAACAATACGATCACCACGACGCGTAATGCTGACTATTGTTGGGGTTGGTTGGAAGAAAACTAAGGGCGGCCAAACCGAAACGTGATATCAGTGCTTGAAGTCACTAACTTGTAGTCTAACCATGTTGGGAGATGCAGAGTACTTGATTGGGGTTCGCGTGACTATCTTAACCAATGGTTGGAGACTCTGAGTGATATGGCTCAAAATAGATCACAATGGCGTTGTTGTATACACTCTCTGTTTACCCTTAAACTAAGCGATTAAAATTGCTTTGAATCCTTTTTATCAACTCACTCTTTCTTCCTATACTATATCTTTATATACAATCTTTTATATATTACCACCACTGAATTAACTACTTATATGGATCCGGTATTCATCTTGTTGTGTTAATGAGGTTGTAAGTTTTAAAATTGTATAGATTTTTTTATTGGAAACAAGACAAAATGAATTGTATCGGGTCCAATTTGATCGAGAAAATGGTTATATGATTTCCGTCTCTATAATCAGGTAGAGCAATTGCAAGAGTTTAACACTTTAAATACTCGTCTCGTTATAATTGCTAGTTTTCTACTACACTAATAACCGTACAATCTTATTACATTTTTTAAATCCAAAAATAATCGAACAATTCAGGGAGCTATTCTAGCTGCTGTTTCCAGTACAAAATGGGCAAGCTTCTACACCGAGCCGAATATTCTCTCTGATGACGATATCTTAGATGAAGATGATGAAGTCACATCAGCTGGTAAGTCATTGGAATTATTTTTAATCCGTGTAGTTTTTATCTGAAGATAAGTTGAATTTATGAAGCTCTACTTATTTCACAGACTATTGAAATGAGCAAGATAAATCATTAAAAACCAAGGAAACACTGGGAAAATGTCTCATCCTGGTGCAGAACTTCTCAGCAATCAATACCTAAGATCTTTCCAAGGATCATTGAATTCTAGAATCTTTAGGTGAACACGTCATATATCTCTTTCGACCATTGAGTTGCCAAATAACTGTTCATATCCACAAACGTTAGTCCTTTTGTCGTTGGTTTCCAAGCTGAAATCAGATGATATTAATGTGAAATTGTAATGGATTTAATTCTTTCCCTCATTTGTTAATAATAAAACTACCAGTAAATAGGATATCATACTAAATGATTTGATGATGATGGTTCGAATCTTTTCTTATTAAAAATTTTCAATGTTTGTCTACATCTGTTTTTGTGTTTACTTTACAGTATATTATTATATATTCGTCGACTTGTTTACAGAACAATAAGCGAACAATATTGTTTCGAATTAAATCCTCATCAGTTTTATTCTAATATACAGTAATATTTATATGCCATTATGAAAATATTAAATCAATCAAAATAGTTTATTAGACAATCATAACAACGAAATAGATTACATAACCAAACATCATGAGTTAAAAGTGCAAATTGATAGTTTGACGATTATTATACTAGTGGTGATTGTTATAACTTGTCGTTTGAATGCTTATTGTCTTGGCTCTTTTAATGCTACTTTTTGTATATGGTCGTCGCTGATTGTTATGTCGGTAGCGCTTATCACTTACACCAGAGAAGAGGGATCTCTGCAATTCCCACGACGCGAAAGTAAGAACACAAAGACTGGTATAAGTGATGATTTATTAACCCCTAATCACGACGACGACGGTTCTAGTAGAAAATACACTCATCTATACATTGATTGTACACCCATTTTGATTGATAATTAGGATAAAATCACATATATGAAAAATACTTTGAGTTATAACAAATCACATACTGAGCATTGTTTATGTTAATGGAATACAAGAATATCGCATATTATACAGAATAAAATATCATACGAGACAATTAAACAAATGCTACATTGAGTAATCAGTACATTGAATCAAACAGAAGTAATCTTGAACAAAACTCATAATGAATAAATCAATCGAAAATTGACTTGTGTTTCCATCATATCAATGATAAGAATGAGGAAGGCTTGAATTACTGTTTCTTCGTAGAAAAATCTCCACCTGGAGCCCCTCTGGGGCTACTGCCGGTCCTAAGCCTGGATAAAGGAGGGGTTTGGGCATAGGGTTAACGAACCCATCCCGTAGAAACTAACTCGCTAAAAATAACGCCAACCAGTACAAGAATTAAAGACTTAGAGAAATAAACAGTAAAATATCACTCATTAAAGATTTTTACAGTTACGGAATTCAAAGTGTTCAAATAGTTAGTGAAAAATGTATACAGAACAGACGTGAAGAAAACGAATCAAACACAAAATATGAATAACAATAACAAGTAGATTTGTTTGTTAAGCGATATTTGGCCAAGAAAAAGATAAGTGTTACATATTTGTTTTGAGAATATGAAAACTGTAATTGTTAGCTCAAAGGAAAGCATCTTTATTTTGTTTGGTGAATGGTGATTTCATGAAATATTTACCAGATGTTGGGAGCTCAACCAACATAGTCTCAAATCTTTAAGCGAAAACAAGTCCAAGTCTCTTGTTTACGAAAATATACTCTCAAATTGCACATTCATATCTAGTCGGATTGTTTCTCATCCATAGATTATTAATGTAACGTTGAGAAACGTAAGGTTCTCACACTTTACTAAATCCTATTAGGATAAAGTCAAAGACCTATCATACAACAAAATGATTTTTTCTGTTAATTGTAATTTTTTCATCGTTGAAATCATGAGTCAGTTGAAGCTAGACCACTATGGAGAACCTGGAAGCACTAGAGGGCTGTTTTGTCCTGTTATAGGACTCCTCAGCAGTGCGCATCCATGATCTCACCCCGTGGAACTCGAACCCAGGACCTATCGGTTTCGCGCGCGAACGCTTAACCTCTAGACCATTGAGCCGGCAGTCATCCAACAGTGTTCATTTATAACTTCAACTAATCCACGGAATTTTTGTTATCAAGTTGTATAATCACTTACATAAAAGACATTAAAATTATTAGATATGGGATATAATCATGATATCCTATTGATAAACATTGTAATACATAATAAATAATCTATGTTTTCTCAACTTCGTCAAGCTGATGTATGTAAGTATGCCTTTCAATGTGTTGTGATGTAAGTTAATTTAATGAAAATAAATGTATAATATTTGATCTCGTTTAGTAAAGATCTAGACATTAAGGAGATCAGTTGAAATGATAGCTGGAACAATGAAGCATCAAAAAAATTAAAAGTATACAAAACGTTATTAAGGAACAAGAGAAAATTTCAATTATAAACCTAAGTGTAACGGAAATATTAGCTGTGATATCAGTAATAATGTATTATGACCAATATAAAGACAGATGAAAATAGGATATATTTTCTTTAAATATACAGTTCATGTTTCATTTCATGGATGAACCAATGCTTCTTCTACTGTATTTTCGTGTTCAAAAGAAATAAATGTTTACTAGAATTCTTATAGCGACTCACGTGCAAATGGGTTTATTCTCATTTAACTCAGTTAAGCCCTTTTGCTAACTTATTTAGCGGACAACGTCATTCGCACTATAACAATTTATTGTACCCTTATTATTTTGTGCTTGTATGAAATACGTATGCTTGAATATTGATTACTGCCTACGCATTTATTCACTCTGCTAGTCTTACTACTAACCGCTTATTTGATTCGATTACTCATTCATTTCACATGGTATATATATGTCCATGTTATTCATATTCAACACACACACTCGCTCACTCACGCGCTCTCGTCACGTTCTTGCTCTCGCTCTCGCTCGCTTGCTTGCTTGCCTTTCGGAACAACTTTTCTATGCTTGTTTAATGCATCTGTACATTTGGATATATGTGTGTGGTCTCGCAATAAACGTAGTCAACACTTCGTATTTGCCCTCTGATTAATATACCGTTGGGGCGTTATACAGAACGGTTAGTAAGACGAATTGTATACGAAGTTAAGGATTATATCGGATACCGACCACCACATTCTAACTGTATACAAATTAATATGTGACTTAGTGAAGTGATTAAGGGGTTATAAAATGGTTAAAGAATCAAACTCCTGATAATAATAAAAATGAAACATCTAAATAGAATATTATTATTTCTTATGATCTCAATCAATATGAAGTTTGTATATTGTATCTAACAATGGTAAAGATTTGTTGTTTAGGATGATGAATATGATGGAGTTGTGTTCCCTAATCTATATAGTTTAATTATGAAGTAAGATTTCATAATCTTTCTAGACAACAACACTGTCATTATCTTTAGATCGGAGTAAGCTATAAGAATTTCTTCACATATGATAGGATAACAGTCAATAATAACCAATCATATTTAAGGTTTAAAGAAAAACAAGGATAATAATATTTCATACACATAGTTCCCTTTATTATCTTAAATAGAGCAAGAACAAAGATTGGTGCAGAATAATATGAATTCATTTTATTTCGTTAGGTTCTCATCAGCTGCTTACAACCTAAATTATTTGAAATTCAACATTATTACAGATATTGACATATTTATACATAAGAGTGTGAATAAGGATCAATACATGTGTATGATGATGTAGCAAGCAAATATTCAGATAGAGTTAATGAGCTCATAAAATGTTTGATTCGAATAAATAAATAAAGTTAGTGAGGGAAAGTTCTGGAACATTGAAATAGTGATTAGAACTCATGAAAATAGATTAATAGTAATAAAGAAAATATGAATTGAAATCAGTCAGTTATGCATGATGTAATTGTTATTGTTACCAGGGTAAAGAAAGATTTATTACTGTCTCTTTTTGTATACATAGATCTGGTTTTAAACGTTTGATTGCTATCGCTTCAGCGATTAAACGCATTCAGCAGTGCTATCGCAAGACATCTCCTTGATACAGGACATGAAGTTGATATACTGAAGTCCTTCAAGGTGATCAACAAACAATCAAACTCTAACCTTTTGAAATTCGCTGAAGCGATAGCAATCAAGCGTTTAAAACCAGATCTATGTATACAAAAAGAGACAGTAATAAATCTTTCTTTACCCTGGTAACAATAATCCCCACCCTTTCTATCCATTTATCCTATTTATTTATTTATTTATTTATTTATTACGTCATTCCCCATCTTCCAACTCTTTCTGAAGTTTAAATTACATCATACATAAATGATTGGTTTTAATTCATATTTTCTTTATTACTATTAATCTATTTTCATGAGTTCTAATCACTATTTCAATGTTCCAGAACTTTCCCTCTCTAACTTTATTTATTTATTCGAATCAAACATTTTATGAGCTCATTAACTCTATCTGAATCTTTGCTTGCTACATCATCATACACATGTATTGATCCTTATTCACACTCTTATGTATAAATATGTCAATATCTGTAATAATGTTGAATTTCAAATAATTTAGGATGTAAGCAGCTGATGAGAACCTAACGAAATAAAATGAATTCATATTATTCTGCACCAATCTTTGTTCTTGCTCTATTTAAGGTAATAATATTTGCAGAATACGACGAATTCATTGAACTTCCTTGCTTTCTTGTCAACTACACACTACTTACTTAATTACTTAGACCTGTTACTCCCAGTGGAGAATAATCCTCCAATCAGCGACTACACATATCAGTTAATGTATTTAATTATTTCGAATTATTGACATAATTTGAAATTTAAAATAGTCAAATGTAGTGATAAACATACGCTTTGAGTTACAGTGCTATAATCAACACTAAAATTCAAGTATATTTAGATGACAAGCATCAATGTATACACTCTCTGTCTTCCCTTAAACTAAGAGATTAAAATCACTTCATATCTTTCTTTCTTCCTGTACTATATCCTTATTGTAATCTTTCTTTTATATATTACCACCTCTGAATTAACTACTTTTATGAATCCGGTATTCATCTTCTTGTGTTAATGAAGTATGGCATCTTGAACCGATGTACGTATGTGCCTGGTCCTACGTTGTAGCTGACTGACTGACTGACTGACAAGCATCTGGGAAAGTGGAGCCTATGACCCAGATTCATCACTGTTAACTACAATTAAAGTCTATTCAAAAACAATTATCGACTGGGTTAACAAGTTATCACAGTTAACTCTATTAAAACTAATCTATATTCTAAGTTAATTTTATTAATTTTTGTTAACTTTTCATTTTTATACTTTTATTGTTTAACTCAATAATTGAAATAGCTGTTAGTGCTGTATTGGACAGTTTTGAAGAGATGCAATGTCTTACAGAATGTTTTGAAAAAGATTCTGATCTATTTCAACCAGTATTTGAAGATGAACATTTACATTGTTTATTAGAGGTAAATTTCTTTATCATTCAAGAATTATTTGGTTGATTGATATTCTTTTCAAGATCCTTTATTCACTAATCAACAATTCAGTAGTATACATATGTATATGTCTTTATTTGAATTATAGTATACTTGTAGTCACAATTGTGTGATATAATTAGTGGATTTTCATTATGTTTGTGTTCAACTGGCTATAATGCGATCTCTCCTCCAGTTGGTCATGTCTGATCTTACTAATATTAAATAAAGGCTAAACATAATATGTTTCTTTTGAGCATAAAATAGAAACTGGTATATATTGTAGAGATTTGAGTAGTACAGTCATTTAAGTCTCAACTCCGTGCCCAAAACATTCATGTGCAGTCAATCATCCTATCATGACATCGTTGCACTTCTTGTTCAGATATAAAAGTTCGAGATAACTTGATTATTAAATAAACAATATCGTTTGTATTTTCTTATTAAATATAAAATAAAATAAAACTTTTTGATTGAACTTGTGGCCAATTTATGTTCACATAAAGTCATGAAGGGGATATTTTGGCACATACTTTAAGATGGTCAACCTAATCAGATAAGCTATACAGCAGCAATAACTTAACTTTTAATGTTTAGTGCAGGGATAATCTGTGCAATATTGTGTATGCGCCTAATTCATGGGGATCAAAACGCTGAGAAACCAGTTTATAGTATTTCCACAGATCTATTTAAATCATTTTAACTTCTAATGCCTTCCAATACCTTTGGAAAGTATAGTAATAGGATATATGAAACTTAAATTCTTCCTTTAGGATGTTGATTTTAGTACATACGTTTGTTCTTCAAATGATTATTATACAACAAGAAAAATATCTATACAGGTCTCTGTGAGACCTGTATTAACAATGAGTAGTTCTTCAAATATCAATAATTTGTGAGTTTCTTAATTTTAAAACATGTGATATTATCAGTGTAAGGTTGTGGAGATTGAGTTTTAATTAAAATGATGAACCAATCACATTTGAAAACCTGGAAGTACTGGACGGTCTTTCCGTTTCAGTATGGGACTCTTCGGCAGTGCTCACCTACGGTCGGGATTCGAACCAAGAACCTTCGACCTCGCGCACAAACGCCTAACCTCTAGACTACTGAGACGGCTACCAACCTTGTCAGCGCCTAACTGTCCCAAATTTGACACGGCTGTGGCTCAGTTGTCCACAGGTCAAACGTTCACGTGCGAGACCGAATGCCCTAGGTTCGAATCTCGTTCATATGTTCTTGCTTTTCCACTAAAGAAAAAAATCTTTGCAGAGTTTTCGTTTTATTATCACATTATCATTGATCTCAGTTGTTGTTACTCTTTTTTATTCAATTTTCATTGTTTATTTTCACAGCTCTATGATCATATTAACACACATTCACCAGGCAGTGATTTTCATGTTCCTGCTGATGCAACAGAAATTTGGGCTAAAGTGTGTTTTACTGTTATTTTTTATTCATGCAACAATGATTATTGATAACTTATGTAAAATGTATGATTTTTCTGGTTTTCAAATTCTATCAAAGTAATTTTGATGCTGTTGAGTTTCTTTAGTTGGATAATTCAATTTCATGAGCACCCAATACAATATTATTTGCTTGAAACTGCAAGAATTTCGTCATAAATCAAACATTTACTAATGAATAATTTTCATTTCTCTATAAGTGTCTTCATCATCAAGTTCTACCAATGAGTGTAAAACGTAGACTATCAATTAAGTTGTCAAATATCGGATACAGAAATACCAACATTTCATCGTCATCCAAAAGGCGAGATTCCCGAAGTTACTTAGACCACGATACCTGTCAACGTTGAACACGACAGCCAACATATTAACTAGACAACATAAAACAACAAATAAGCATTCTCAAAATATCTGCTCTGTTTTCTGAATTAAATTCACACACATGAATATTTCTTGTGATTAAACTCAAGATAGTTAGGGTGTGGATATGTAGACCCAGTCTCAAATGTTGAATTTTAAACCAAATGGTTGATGAAAATCAAATAGATAAAAATAGTATTAGCTTCAGCAGAGACATAATTTGCTCATTATAGTTATTTGACAGGATGTATATACTATTTGCCACAAAAAAGTTAGTACAGGGTTGTGGAAATTGTTAAGTTTTTGATTGAGATCATGAACGGATTGATGTTAGATCACTGTTGAAAACCTGGAAGTACTGGATGGCCGTTTCGTTCTCTTGTGGAACTCCTCAGCAGTGCGCATCCATTGTTACGATCGCGGGGTTCGAGCCCAGGGCCTTCGTCCTCGCGCACGAAAGAAAAAATTAGTCAATGACTTTTTATCTTGATCTACTTTCTTGTTTTTTTTTCTTTCCTCAAATTTATTCCTGTTTTAATCAGTACAACTATCGTGGTATTATGTAAGCTTATTAAAAAAACTGAAAATTCATAATAATAATTATTATTATTCTCACAGTTGAAATCATGAACTGATCTTAGCCAGACCACCATTGAAAAACTGTAAGCTCCAGACGGCCATTTCATCCAAGAATTGGACATCTCAGCGGTATGCATTCCTGAACCTCAACTCGAGAGTCGAACCCATAGCTTTTGATCACTTGTTATTCCTGAAGTTGATTATTCTCTCATGTCATTTAGTTATATTGTTTGTGAATCAATATTTTGGCTTCATCCATATGTTCAATTTTTATAAAATACTAATATCAAGAGGTATTCCCGGGAGTTCTAGTGACAAGCAGTGACCAGTGTATTTCAACTGGGTCTGTTGTGAAATAGTAACTTACTGAAGACAATGGTTGATGTGTCGCTGAATTTCATGGATTGGTTGAAGTTAGACATTACACCCGTTGGATGCCGGCCAGCTCAGTGGTCTAGAGGTTAAACATTCGCGCGCGAGACTGATATGTCGTGGGTTCAAAGTTCGTGGGGCGGAATTGTGATTGCACACTACTGAGGAGTCCCCTACTGATACTAATATCAATTCATAATGCAAACTCAATTTATTTATAAAGAATATCGTTTTATTTTTATCCGATTTCTATTTTCCTCGTGTATATTTTTTAAAATTAAAATTTTATTTTAACAAATCAGGTATTAACAGAATTATCCGTATTGAATAAGACAGAAATGGTGTCAACTGTTGAAGAATTAAAATTTTATATGAAACAACCTCACTTTCGTGTAAGTGATTCATTCATTTTTATTTTGTATATAATTAATAAAACCTTTTACATGAAGAAATGATAATTATACAAATAATCGTTTGACTCAATATAAATATTGTAGTCAAGTTGAAATACCTTAGATAAATTAAATTACTTACTTACGCCTGTTACTCCTGGTGGAGGAGCAATGGCCGCCCATCCTCACTCTCTATCCAATCCTGTCCTATGCAGTCCTTTCCAGTTCTTTCCAGTTGTTATTCAACCCTTTCCGATTCTCTTCACGATTCTTAGTTAGAGCTTGTCTTGTGATGCAGTTTGGTGATTTCCTCAATGTATGGCTTGTCCATTTCCATCGTCTTTTCCTAATTCCCTCCTCAGCTGGAAGCTGGTTTTTTCTCTCCCACAGAAGGCTGTTGTTGATAGTATCCGACCAATAGATGTTAATTATCTTGCGTAGACAACTATTCATAAATACTCGTACATTCTTGATGATAGATCTCCAATTTTGAGCTTCGTATAGTAGAACTGTCTTGATGTTGGTATTGTCGATTGTGACTTTGATATTGGTTGAAAGTTTGCAATGGCCCATGTGCATACACACTTTGTGTTCTCACAAATTCTAACCTCCTGACTTCGCCTTGTCTCTCTTTTTTTTCTTTCCAAATTTATTTCGCTGGATTATACTCCTTGAATAGTATCTTCAAATGCTAGTCTTTCTGATTACTGCTTATACTCTTACTACCTCTACCACTACAGGATTTGAATCGACAACTGCATCTCTGTGTTAATGTGATATGGCAACTCGAACTGATTTACGTACGTACGAAGTTCTACTTTGGTACTGAATGGCTCAATTGTAGGAATGCGACCGTTGCCTTACCAATCCATTACTTCACATCTGTATCAGATCCTCCTTGTTCATCGATGATGCTTCCTAGGTATGTGAAGTACTCTACATTTTCCAGAGTTTTGCCATCAAGAGTGATTGGATTGTTGTTTTCCGCTTTGAATTTGAGGACTTTGGTTTTCCCTTTGTGTATACTGAGGCATACTGATCCAGAGACTGCTGCTACACTGGCTGTCTTTGTCTGCGTCTTTTCGTGTGTATGCGATAGGAGGGCTAGGTCATCTGCGAAGTCCAAATCGTCTAATTGGTTCTGAGCTTTCCATTGTATGCCGTGTTTTCCTTCAGATGTCAAGGTCCTCATAATCCAGTCGACCACCAAGAGAAAAAGGAAGAGAGAGATTAAACAGCCTTGTCTGACTCCGGTCCTTACTTGGAATGCATCTGTCAGCTGTCCTCCATGCACGACTTTGCATTGTAGTTCGTCGTATGAGTTCCGGATAATATTGACAATCTTCTCAGGAACTCCGTAGTGTCCAAGAAGTTTCCATAATGTTCTCCTATCCACACTGTCAAACGCCTTTTCATAATCAATGGAGTTGATGTATAGTGACGAGTTCACTCAGCTTATTGTTTGACGATGATCGTAGTGTTGCAATTTGGTCTGTTCACGTTCGATCCTTACGGACTCCAGCTTGTTGATTTCGAAGTTAGGCGTCTACTGCGTCTTTCATCCGGCTCAGCAATACTCTGTTGAAGACTTTCCTTAGTATTGACAGTAGTGTGATGCCTATGTAGTTTTCACATTTGCTCAGATTTCCTTTCTTTGGAATCATGATGAGGTGTCCTTCTTTCCAGTCAATGGGAACTGGTTCATCTTCCCAAATCTTCTTGAATAGAAGGTGAAACATGTTTGTAGTTACTTTGATTTCCGACTTCAGTGCTTCATCTGGTATGTTGTCGGGTTCTGCTGCTTTCTCGCTCTTGATTTGTCTGATGGCCATTCTGATTTTTTCGGTCGTTGTTTGAGTGACATTGATAGGAAGGTCTGTGTAGAGAAACTAAACCTATTCAAAATTCTAGGTCGAAATTTTTCAAAACCTGCTTTTATTCATATAGGGACTTGTGGAGATTGTGATATATTCACATTATAAATTAATAGACGATCTAAACTAGATCACTATTGCAAACCTGGAAGCACTGGAAGGTTGATTCATTCTAGTGTGGGCCCCTTAGCAGTGCACACACATGATCGCGCACGCGGGATTCGGTCTCAAAACACTTAGTCTTACGTATGCGTTGTTAGGCTTTTATTTATGGTCTAGCTCTGGTCAATTCATGATTTCAACAATCAAAATAAACGTTTTTATTTTATACTTTCATTAGTTAACTAATTATGCTGAATAACCGTGTATACTTACTGGCTTTCATAAAATGTTCACAACTTCACTTAAATCTAATTATTGTGATGAAGTATCATCACAATAGTCCCTATATTTTCCTCTTCATCTATTGTCACTTGAAAAAAAAACTATAGAACTCACAAATCAAATATATTCAGCCATCTCATGTGAGCAACGTTAATTGTAAACATTTACAGATGACTATAAATGATAGCTAATCCCTGTTTACAAATTGAATTATCAATTATCAATATTAAATTATAGACTCCAAAAGCCCTAGTAATAAAAACGGGTATCAAAGAATAAAATATCGGACCAGTAAAGACAATACAACTTAATGTTTTCTCGTACTGAATTTATAAATAACATAATAATGAACATAACTAGACACGGTACTCAAACTATCAATAATTGTAAGATATCGGTTTTGTTGTGATAGAACATAATTCACCATTCAATGAACTGAATACTTAATTAGTATACTTACATATTGCCATCTATGTCAGAAACAAAAGTTATTCAAAGAACACCATCTTCATGAATTATGTATGACCATTTGAGCTATCTCTGTGTGATAAAGTGTTGGATAATCAATCTTTTTCATTAATGAAAACTCTAGTCTCTATATACAATTCTTATTCAACTGTAAAAAAAACCGGTTAAAACGTTGCACAATGAATTGATTGATGTTAGTCCACCATTGAAAACGTGGAAGCACTGTAAGGCTGTTTCGTCCTACTATGTGACTAAGCAGTGCGCATCCACGGTCTCGCTTGCGGGATTCGAGCCCAGAACCTTCGGTCTCATTTTAGTTTTCTTCCATACACTGTTAGAAGTTTCTAATATCTAAATACAAATGATTAATTGCTGCATTTTATAGTGTAAATCACGGAGTAATCTTATTTACACTAATATTAAAAATAAAAAAACACTGAACAGCAATTTCATACTGGTATGGGTTTCCTCAGCAGTGCTCATTCACGACGTTATACCAAAGAATCTCATGCAGGATCTTCAGTCTTACTCCCAAACGCTTATGTTCTATACCACAGAGTCGGAAACTGACTTGTTGGTGTCTAACTTCAACAAGTTTGCAATGTTGCACTTAGTGTTTAAACGTTCGTGCACGAGACTGAATGCATTAGATTGGACTCCCGGTATCTGGAGTGCGGACCTAGTTTTCTAAGGAGTACAGTACTGGGATGAAACTTTCATCGAATACTTCGAGATCTTCGATAATGATTTACCTAAAATCCACAAACTTCCCTACCCAGTTGTTAATATTTAGGATTGAAAGTGAAAGTGCTAGTGGAAAACGTATTAAATGTTTGATTCTGTCTCTTAAAATTGTATATATCTAGCGAATCAGCACTATCCCCAAATCCTAACCATAAACGCTTAATATGTACATGGCTTTATAGAAGACATAGCCCCACATTTTTGATCGAAGTTCATTCATATGATTAGAAAGCCTTTTCACATCATAGCTGATGTCCATTCGTGATGAGAATCCTAACCCTAGATCCCCAATCCTTATCCTAAATACTTAACAATAACTAAGAACAATGTGAGAACTTTCGAAAATCTATTTAGGCCATTTTAAGGGTTACTGAATATGTAAAATCTATATTCATTAGAATGGGCTTACTTGTCGTTTTTTTTTATTTACAGACAGAGTAACATGTAACAAACATTAATAGACTTATTAAAGGTACAAAAAAATATGTTTACATTCGGCAAAACTATCGATTTGTCAAAGTTGTTGTCTGATTGGCTAGAAACCGTCTGGAAATTCATCACAGATGTTTTAAGCTTATCCCTGTAGTACACTTACTCCATGATTTTCTTATTAGGCTAATTGATATTTTGATTTGAAAAACGTCAATTCGATACTAGTTGGATCTTCTTCTTTGATTTCCTTTTCTTGTTTTTAATGATTGTTAATTAATAATCAGTCAGTCGGTTATACGCAACATAGAATCTGACTCACGTGTTCATAGGTTCAAGTTATCATATTCTAATAATAATTTTCAGGGAGAATTCTAGAGTAGTAGACGTAGTAACAGTATGAGTGGTAATATAAATGATCGTGTATTGAAGATACAATTTGAGAAAAAAACTGCAAATTGGCGACTAATTAGAAAAACATCCAGTGATTATTTGTTTCATATTAGATTCCTCAAAAGTGTATTTCGCATTCTTGGTTTATCCGCCCACCGGTCTATGCTTAATTAGCAGGAAGAGATAATGTCATCTCGATCTAGTTTATGACCATGACATGTTAGGTTACTTAGTACAACCTTGGAGCTTATAACGTGTAATTTTCAATTTTTTCTAGATTTGACTAATGTAAAAAGGTACATTTATAAATGAATAAATAACAAGAACTCGACGCATAACAAATGAAAAAATTACAGTTGTATTCAAATTAGAATATTACTTCCTTACACCTGTTACTCACAATGAGGCATAGGCCGGCGATTAGCATTCTACAACCCAATCTGTCTTGGGCCTTCGATTCTAGTTCTATCCGATTGTTGTCTCCATTTTCTTGGTGTAATGGGTTCTTTGGTCTTCCTCTTTTTCTTTTGACCTTGAGGATTCCAAGTGAGCGTATTTCCTGTGCTTTCTTCAATGTGTGTCTTATCCACTTCCATCGCTTCTTGCTGATTTCTTCCTTCCGCTGGGATCTGGTTTGTTTTCTACAACAGAAGGTTGTTGCTAATAGTTGCTGATAGCCAACGGATCCGAAGTATTTTGGGTAAACAACTATTAATAAACACCAATATCTTCTGGATGATCATTTTCGTAGTTCTCCAGGTTTCTGCCCCATACAGTAGAACTGTCTTGACATTTGTATAGAGAATTCTGACTTTGATGTTGTTTGATAGTTGTTATGAGTTTCAGATGTTCTCTAGTTGTAAATATGTTTCCCTTGCTTTACCGATCCGCGCCTTCACATCTGTATCAGATCCACCATATTAATTAATGATGCTGCCCAGATATGTAAAGGTTTTTGCATCTTCCAAATCTTCACCGTCAATTGTGATTGGATTGGTGCATGCTATGTTGTATCAGAGAATCTTGCTTTTTCCTTTATGTATATTGAAACCTACTGCTGCTGAGGATGCCGCTACACTGGTCGTCTTCTTCTGCATTTGTTGTTGCAATTGTGATAGAAGAGCCAGATCATCTGTGAAGTCTAGATCTTCCAGCTGCATCCCAGATGTTCACTGTTTCCCATGCTTCACCTCAGATTTTGACATCTTCATAATCCAGTCGATCACCAGGAGAAAGAGAAAGGGTGAGAGTAAGCAACCTTGTCTGACACAAGTCTTTACTTCGAACAAGTTTTTCAACTGTCTTCTATTCACGATTTTGCAGTTTTATCCACCATAGAAATTTCGTATGATATTGACCAACTTGCTAAAAAGACGCTAACCAGGAGCTCGAAAATTAGAGTGAGAAAGTGGGTCATGTTTGAATTACGGTAATTTTTCGAATAAAAAAAGAATAATACTGTATTTTATGCATTTAAACGAAAGATTATGGTCCATACAATAAAGCAGGTACAAAACTAAATGTTAATACTTAACAGATTTCCAATGAATTGATACATTGTCTCACAAAAACAGCTTTTGTTTTCTATCATTGCTTTGTTATTTCTCTTTCCACACCAATGAATAAAAGTAAAAGACCCAGATCAAATTGTTTTATCAAAAAACAAATAAGAAATATTGAGATTTCACTTCACGATTGACTTTCACCCGACATTGAAATAGTAGCTTGATAGTTAAGCGATTTAACTTTTAACTACAATGTAACCCATAGTTCGAATGGTATACTAGATCTACTTTGGTCTGAGACAATTGTACAGTATCACTAGTCTATTATACATTAAAAGGTTTTCAAAACCAATTACAAAACTTTCATACTGACAAATGCATTACAAACGATTAATAATAGTATGACACATTTATGAAAGTTTAACAATACTTACCAACAATCATAATCACAATTGAAATATCTTGTGTAGGACAGTAATTAAGAGTTTGATATTTATTTTAAGTGTTTAATGTTTTTCAAAATTTATAAGCTTGAATAGTTCGATTTGAAATGCGGTTTATATTAATCTCGTTATGAAGTATTTACTAAAAAGGACCTGACATACATGACATTGATCACTACACAGTGATCAATCAATTGTAAATATATCTAAAACCTACAAGAGGTCATTCGCGGCCTGGATAGCTAAGTGACACGAGATCGAATCCATCAGGGAGCCTCAGTTCCCTCAAGATTAGAGGTACACCTTGTTGATGAGTGCAAAGTAGCGCGAAACCTAGGTCTACGGTTTCCTGTTGACTATCTCCAATTACCATCTTATCTGAATATAGTGCACACAATGTCGAGTCACCTAGACTAGTGGGCTGAATTGCAACTTGGTCGATAGGATTCGATCTGCACTAAGAAGGACCTGACTGATATAAAGTTGATCCCCACTCAGTGATAAATCAGTTGTAAAAGCATTTACTTCTCCTAGAATCTAAGTCAGTTATTGACATTCTACTTTGTTAAGTCATTTTATATTCATTGAGTTTATTAATCAATTTGAAAATGGTTCTAATCAAATAATCATTAAATATCTCTTTAAATCTTGATCAATCGATATACTTCTGTAAAGAAACAAAACTTATACTGCGGTTCTTTCATATGAGGCTTTGATAAATGAAATGACTTAGTTTACAAAGATTTTACCCCTCTCAAAATCTTATTATTTAGATGTTCAATAATTTCAGTATACAGTTTCCCTTATTATCATTCTATCTATTAATATGATAAAAATTTTATTATTTCAGGCATTATTACAAACGTATGATGTAATAGCTCAAGAAGTTTATGGCCCTGAAGCTATTCGTGTCACTCCACCACCACTGTCATCATTTTTAAATGGTGATGAGGATGATCATATGGAATCAGATACAGATCAACCACAAGTGACACGTGTACGTTTGGTACAATTTCAAAAGAATACAGATGAGCCAATGGTAAGAAATTAAAAGAGATAACCTTCATTTATAAAACTCGCTGGTGGAGAAGATTTGTAGCTCAAGTTGTTGATTTTGTTAAAGTTTTGCTCTCTGAGCTGGATAGTTTGGTCGTGGAGCTTTCATCGTTCTTCTGAACGACATCACCAGCACAAACTTCGTCGTAAAAGTGTACAGGACTAGCTGTGAAATGCATATGGCGAAATTCGAACACTTCATTTCTATTTGAAGTTTGTGCTGAAATATTCATTCTAGTCATCACTACGCATTAGGGTGTGCCACTGTCCGGTTGCCCAAACCGAAACTGATGATTTCCTTAGGGGGCCACCACCGGAGTTTTCGACCCAAAGTTCTGATCCACAAGGCAATAGAGCAACGTCAGAAGATGTAGTCTCATGGTAGCCAGTAACTAACAATAGGATCCTTCAGGATACTGGAGCCCATGTGCACCATTGGTTTGAAATAAGGGTTTTCTAACTTTCCTAAGTGGATCCTCCATATTCACCAACCCGGTTAAAGTGCCGGACATTCAATTTCGTAAAACGCATCCTCACCGCAAGAAGGCAGTAAGTACGATTTCGCTAGCAGTGCTTGTGTGCACTTGGCTATGTGAGAGCATTTCAAGAGGGAGAGCTGACTTTCCTCACTCTCGGCCGTATCAGAGCATAAATCGAATGATTTATGTGGCGCATATCGATTTGGTGTCTCCTTTTACCATTGTTTATATGTTTAGATAAATAAATAAATAAACACATTATGGTTAAGTAATGGCTATTCATGAATAATGTATTTCACAAATACATGTTGATTAAAAAGATTTCAAGAAATTTTAACACTGAACTTTTACCACTCAAAATATTTGGTTTTATGGATTTTAAGTTTGATATATGGAAACTGAAAGTTCCCATTTTTCAACACTCTTTCGATAAAAAATAAATCATTGATCTTGACTCATAATTTTGCAGTTATATAATATACGTTTGTGCGACAGGGTAATTTTACATTGGTTTTCAGGAGAACCAGACACCATCCGGACTTTCACGTGACAACCCAAACAGTACAGCTCAACCCCGTTTAGCAGGAGGACCAGACACTTTATAGGCTTTAACGCTACAATCTGAATAGTACAGCTCAATCCTATGACGCAACCACACAGGTCTCAAGCACTCTGGTTTGAGCACCGGTTTGGGCACCTGGGCAGTCTCACTGTCCTCACATATATCGAATGAGATTTTTGTGGAGCATATGTATTTGGTGCCTCCTTGTACCAAGATCTATGTGTTGAAATAAATAAATAATAAAGTAAATAAATAATCTTGCATTCACAACTTCGTCAAACGTGTAGTCACTAACTAACTTTATAAAACTTTTCATTTTTTGAATTAGCACTTCAGGAAAAGTTTTATTTCACGTTTGCAAATGTTTAGGAAAAAAAAGAGCATAAGTTACATTGTCATCTTCAATAGACCTTCACAATGCCTCATCACATTTCAACCAGATATCAATAATCAATAATATGATTTGACGGTAACATTAATATTTTGAAAGCATAAATTGTACTTCATTTTTTTGTTATTTAATATCATACCTATGAAGAAGTTAGTTTTATCACTAAGAATCCAACATAAAAATAATGACTTATACTTTTGAATGAAGCCAATGTCAACATGCCAACATCCATTTGTATGATCTTTTTTTAATCATTAAATGGCTAAAATACACACACACACACATACACTTCTACTTCGTGTACTTGTTATAGTTATTTCATTGAAATGATTATTATTTCATGATCTGATTGAAATAAAATACTCTTAAATCCCAGTTACCACAACGTTTTCATTGATTATTTAAGGTCAATGGTTTATTTTTCTTCAACAATTTATTTTGCTGTAATTCAAGGTTATGTGAACAATATTTAATCAGTAATATTTGTCCCTACAAACGCTTTTCTCTCTCTCTCTCTCTCTCTCCCTCTCTCTCGAGACAGTAAACGTTTTCGTACCGAAACTAGTCCATATTTTTTTCTCTGTGTGTGTACCAATGAGCGTTTCGGGATTATTAATAATACTTGTGTGAATGTTATCATTGTGTTAGATTTGTATTGGAAGTAACAGTAGTCATTTGCTCATACAACCCTCCGAAAATGAATCTATACTCCTCTTCAACATTTATGCAAATAGTTGACTGAAATAGTGGTAGGTTAAGCAAAAGCCAGCAAATTAAAATGTAATATCAGTTCATGAAGTCATCGACTTTTAATCCTAACTGTGTTGGCTTCCTTTTGATAACTACCATCAATGGTTGGGGACGTTGGTTGAAATAGCTACAAATTCGCTACAATTGTTTACATTCATTCACTTTTTATCTTCCTGTCAATCTTGAGTTTCAGTATTTCTTGTTACATAACTTGTCATTCTTTCTTCCGGAACCATAGTCTCAATGTCCAATCTTTCCTACCATTATTCTTACTGTATCACTTAGATCTGTTTTGTTACTCATGTTCCTCATTTTATATCGTTATATTGACGTGGTATAGGAACTTGGATTAATCGACGAAGCTTTGTGCAATTTCACAAACCTAATTAATCAAGTACATATCTTAGTCAGTGGAATTGTAAGGAATGGTTGAATATCTCTGCATTTCCCACTGACTTTTATCTTGGATGATCACTTGATCAGATATAAGTTGAAAATGCAAAGATATGAAAATGACGAAAACTTTAAAAAAACACTGGCGGACTGCTTGAATACTTAGGCTACCTGTTACTGTCAAATAGATACTTCAACAAGTTATCTGTTTTTGTTTGTTTTATCACATCATTATGTCTACTAATCGCATAACCTATTCATTTGCATTTATGAACGATTTACGACCTTTCTCTGTAGAAGTAACAAAATAGTGCAATCCGAAACATCGTGGTGGTAGGCAATATGCATTAAAATGAATGAACATTATTCAGATGTCTATTCCTAAACTGCTAACATCACTCGATATTTATCGTCAGGATCGATCAATAAATAAGATGAAACCTGTTGAAATACTGTACTTGGAACTCTTTATTGTACCAAAAATATAATATTGAATAAAGTCATTAATAATATAATAATAAAGGAATAATCAGTTTTGATTGTGGAGATTGTTGAGTTTTGATGGACACCATGAATCGATCAATTTTAGACCACCATTGATACCTGGAAGCACTGGACACCGTTTCATCCTAGTATGGGATGTGCATTTCTGAGAAGTCTCATACTAGAACAAAATGGCCGTCCAGTGCTTCCTGGTTTTCACTGATGATCTAACATTGTTCGATTCATGATATCAGTAAAAAATAATAAAGAAACTGTTACAAATATAACTAACAGGATGAATTAATTTATTATTTGTTGAATAACTTGGAAAAAACTACGCTCGAACTTCAAGTATATGGTGATAATTTTTTTTCTTCCTAAAATGCCAATAAAATTATCATAACAAAAGCCAATTGAATCGGGAAATTCAAATTACATACTTACCTTATTACTTACTTACTTACGGGTGTTGCTCTTCGTGGAGGGGCATAGGCTGCCAAATAGCACTCTCCATTCAACCATCTCCTACGCAATACTTTCCAGCTCTTTCCAGTTCTTATTCATCCTTTTGATATTTGCTTCTATTTCCCGACGTAATGTATTCTTTGACCTTCCTCTTTTTTCCTTCTCTTCACGATTCCAAGTTAGGGCTTGTCTCGTGATGCAGTTTGGTGATTTCCTCAATGTATGTCCTATCCATTACCATCGTCTTTTCCTAATTTTCTCTTCAGTTGGAAGCTGGTTTGTTCTCTTCCACAGTAGGCTGTTGTTGATGGTATCCGGCCAATGGATGTTGAGTATCCCGCATAGACATCTACTTATAAATACTCGTACATTCTCTATGATAGTTCTCCAAGTTACAGCTCCGTATAGTAGAACTGTCTTGATCTTGGTATTGTTGATTATGACTTTGATATTGGTTGAAAGTTGTTTTGAGTTCCATAGACATTGCTAGCCGCGAAATTGTATTCAACTGAATTACAAACCTTCTTCAATTAAATTGTAATAAATTGTAATTCTTGTTGGTTAATTATACATTTCCTCTGTATCCATGTTTATGTTTTGATTAATACTATAGGGTATTACATTAAAGCTAAATGAAGAGAATAAGTGTATTGTTGCAAGGATTCTACACGGTGGAATGATACATCGACAAGGTAAGTAATGTAATTACTTATATGCTCAGTATGATCCAATTATCTGGTAGTTATCATTCACTCACTTATGGCTAAATTCGTAGGTAAGTTTTTGGAATTCTGTGAAGAAGTCTTGGCCAAAGGTGTCTAACTCTATTGGGTGTGAGGCACCTACCCACAGAAAATAATCGAAGATGGTTGGGCCGTATCACGAACTGATTAAAGTTAGATGTACAAACCAAAAAGTACCGGTTCACCGTCCTATAGGTTAACCTCTCTGTGCAAGACTTGGTTAAACCTCTGGTTTGGCCGTGGATGCTCGCTGCTATGGAGCCCATAATAGGATGGGATAACTATCATATGCTCTCTTGTTTTCAATAGTTGTCTATTCTTGGTTTGTTCGTGATCTTGTTAACTCTTACTCTCCACAAACTGCCCTTCCATCGACATTTGGTGTTGATAAGGAATGAGATTTCTTCAATATTCCCTCAATAATGTACTAGCAATCACCCTCCCTAGTTGATGGAAAAACATTTCTAATCGGTGAATTATCAAGAAGTCTAGAATATATCAAGTGTGCCGGCTAGCTCGAGAAACAAAATAGTGTGGTGAAAACCCATAATCGTGACTCAGCCTTCTAAAGTGAAGTGAGAGAGCAGTATCTACCGGACACTAATACGATTATAATCAAATAATATTCACAAATATGTACCATAGATTTATAACTAAAGATAAAATCATGTTACCGTAATTAACGAACGCTTGAGTAGAGTTAACTGATGTATTGTGAAAAGTTACAAAGTATTTACATAATGCATATCCATTTCCTTCAATCTTTCATTTGCATCTTTTGGTGTGTTCTTCAGTCTGAACCATCTTTTCGTCTAATCTCCACGTGTTATACGAACTCTATGTTTTCAATGCACTGAAACTCTTCACTCCATCTGACAATTGTTGCAACTAATGCTATACACTACTTACAAACAATCTTGTGAGTAGTGTACAACTGCATTACAATTGATTAACACAGTTTGAAACAACTATCTAATTCTAATTTATTGGCTTCTATGAAAAGAAAAAAACCACAGTTATTTCTTTTGATCACACATTAAATTGCAGTTGACAAGTGTAATTGAATACATCTACAAGCTATCATGAAATCTATACTAGGCACTGATTTTCAGTATAACTTCTCTAGTAATAGAAAATAAGGTTCCTTACACTTGCTGTTATAATATTCGTTTTTGATTTTTAGGTTTTGTTACTATCTACAGTATCTCGCGGAGTGCGAGATCGTGGGTGTGCACTGCTGAGGAGTCCCATACTAGGACGAAACGGCCGTCCAACGCTTCCAGATTTTCCCCTTCTGATGACAAATATTTGTTAATTTCATCCTGTTTCATCGATATTAACCATATCTTACTTGATAGATTTATCAATCATTCAAGTGTACTGTCTTATGACACTACTATTGTTTAATAAGATTCTTTAAGTTGATACTTTGTAGATATTTTGATAAAACCCAGTGAGATTATGATCTCCAGTTTCGTTAAGAATCCTGATAGTCATGGATTTTACAAATTGAAAAGGGTACATACATACAACTAGAGAGTGTCAGAACGAAATATCCCGATAATTCTTCTGATTAATCACTGATTACTAACCAATGTTCCATTTGTCAAGTCTTTAGTGTTAACTAAATTGTATCGGTCAAGTTTTAATGTAACTCTTGGTCTATGTGACTCGACTTCAATGCACAATCTTCACAATAATATACTGAATTACAATTTATCTCTCTTTCAACAAATACAGGTACTTTACATGTTGGAGATGAGCTACGTGAAATTAATAATGAACCAGTAGCTGGTCGATCTGTTGAACATTTACAACGTTTATTGGTTAGTTTACAGAAACTACTTTGAGAAATATTTTGTTGTCAAGACCAACACATAATAATGTCTATGTCTGTATTGTATCAATTGACTTATGGATAATAATGGACGCTGAGTTTTATTTAATTCTAGCTTCACAATAACTAACTTTGAAGCATTTAGGATTGAATATATAATAAGTTGATGTTATCTCCTTCTTACTTAGTTACTTACGCCTGTTACTCCTCGTGAAGGAGCATAGGCCGCTAACCAGCATTCTCTATCCAACCCTGTCCTGGGCAATCCTTTCCAGGTCTTTCCAGTTGTTATTCATCTTTTTCATATTCGCTTCTATTTCCCGACGTAATGTGTTCTTTGGACTTCCGCTTTTGCACTTCCCTTCACGATTCCAAGTTAAGGCTTGCCTCGTGATGTAGTTTAATGATTTGCGTGAAAAGCGCTAACCAGAAAGCTTGTACTTCTAATCAAATATACAACTTATTACTACGAACATCCAATGTCTTAATTAATATATGGCGTTAAATAACTGAACATGTTCATATTATTTAGCATCAATATTTGCTTCTTCTATCTTTATGATTAAAAAAAGGAATTGTGTACATGGAGAAAATGAGTCTAGTTTATAGTTATTTATCCCATTAATGATGAAAATCTGTTAGAAAAATAGTAAATTATGATTGCCTCACATATACAGCACAAGAAGTTAAAATCAACTATAGAATGGATAACCATGATGATTATCATTATTCATTGCATCTATGAAAGTATATTGGTCAATTCACTGTTTATTTTACAAGATTAAGTATTTAACTTGTAAGGAATACAATACATTGTACTACATAATATGTCTACTGGTAAGCTGTAAACTGAAGCCCATATATTATGTCTTTCACGTCACTTTGTTTTCTCCAGTAGACTGTTAAAGCATGAACAGATAACAGAAGTTAGGAAGTTTATCAAAATCATCAAACATGTACAATAAATGAGGGTAGGTATATAGAATTTATTCTAGAATCTTCTGTTAAACATAATGAAATCGGTGATAAGATTAAACAGTGATCCGATGAGGACAAAAAAAAGCATAATTAATCGTGGAAATGATCTGTAGCTTAGGTGGATGATTTTGATGGGGTTTTATTCTGGTAGAATTTTGGGCTGATGATGTCGTTCAAAAGAACGAAGAAAACTCCACGACCAAACCAACCAGCTCAGAGAACAAAACATCATCGAAAGCATAGCCAATTGTTTGTTAGGTTTCTAAAAAGTATTATTTAGGCAAAATGTGTAAAGTATTTCCATTTGATTCGGAAAACTCTTTCTAAGAATTTAATCAAAAGCTCAAAATATCTACATTTACTAACTACATATTTTTTTCGTTAAACCAAATTAATTTACTTATGAGTAATCAGATATTTTCTACTTAATTTTCTATTTGCCATTCTTACTCAAAGCGTAATGCTCGTGGAAATGTGAGTTTGAAAATTATTCCCAGTTATAGAACACATCCATTACAATGTGAAGTAAGTGGTTATTTTCAAATCAATGATTGACTAAGTAAAAATGCATTACGAATATCAAAACTTTGATTGATTTGTTATAATAAAATTTTCGGCAAGACTATAATTTATGGATGAGTCAATTAGATATAAGATAACGAGTCACGAGCGTTTGGCACGAGATTCATCCATCCATTTGAATAAATAGAGTTTTGGTATTATAGCTGATATCAGTTTGTGATGAAAACCCTGAATCTAATTTTTAACCCTAATCATCAACTGTACATGAGAATTCTAACTGCTTTATAACTGTCATTTAGTCCTAATCAGTAGGTGTTCACTTTCAAGTTCACTTCAGTGTCGCTCAAAGGTCGTCCATAAATTATAGTCTCATCATATTTTCTACAATGATGTCGTAATCTGTATTATATAGAATGGTCAAGTTTACAGTTCATCTAATAGATCGTATCAATTTGATTTCGTTGACAGTATTCTTCGTCTATTTACAATTCATTAGATTTGATCTATTTAAAATTACAATTATTATATATATAATTGATCACTAAACGATGACCAGTATCCTATTTGTCTAGTGATATAGAACTGATCGAATTCTATTGCCACTATTGATTTCAGTGACTCAAAGTTATATAAAATGAGTTGAAATGTCAGAAAGTATTCACTATCCAAGATTGTGAATACGCTTTGCTAAAGAGTGTCATCTAACATGAAACGTAAGCCAAGAGTTTTCTTACATCTTATCTCAACCATCCACCAACTCAATAATATGATATATGTATATAAATTAATAATATGACTTGGTTATGTTATCTTTTATAGACTACTCAAAACGTAGTACACTTTTGAAAATGAATTCATCATTAAGACTATTGTGTTATTTCAGAAGGGGTCTTATGGAGATTGTAACAATTACAATAATTGAGATCATAAGACAATTGATAGTGTGTTATTTCTTTGTCAAGATATATGACAGATCATCAAAGAGATTCAATAGATTATCCAATGTCAAATGTTTACAATGAATGAAAAATAGTCGATTAACATTAATGCCGAGATTGGACATGATCATTTCAAATAAATGGAGCATTAGATAAGAATTGAAATATAAAAATGTATTTTTTGTTATATTCCAATGAGTAGGAAAATGAATACAGTGACTGGTCTTGCAAATGAGACTTGACCAAGAATAACTTAACATTGACATATTCAGACCTATTATGATTTTGATTGTACTGAAAAACAAATAAACTAGTCTGCATTATTACCTTTGTATTATTTACACTTGTGTTCATTTAATGTTAGTTATTTTATTTACTCTGAAGAAGTGGCTTACATTCGGTTACGAAACATCGTCAGAAATTGTTATGTCTCGATAAGCAAAATTTAGGGTAACTTGTGTGATCCATTAATGGATCAATACTATACGTACATTTTTATCGTATAATTGTTGAATAACTAAACTATTCATATTCATGTCTCTCTTTTCATGAGCTTTATTTTGATCTATAAACCATTATTATACGATTTACCATTCATGAGTTATGACCTGTCTATTAATCACTACCACCCTCATTCACAGCCACATTTGGCCAAATCTTGTACAAATGTGTATTTTCTATTTTATGGTGCGTTGTGGTCTATTTGATTGGTATATAAACTCAGTATGTTTGAAATATAATGATTCATATTGCAGAGACTGAGATTGGTGTACTGAAGTTAACTGCCTAGGCTAGGCGGAAAGTAGAACCAGTCAGGACTCTAGACTGCTCATACAGGTTCACGCGTCATTGATTTGATCGATAAGTCACTGCTCTCTAATCGGCAGTCACAAGTTAAAACAGAAATATAATTAAAATATATTTATTATTTTTTGTTACGTTATGTATTAGAAAGAATAGACGCTTATCATTTTGACTTTCGTTGTTCAGTGTACTTAATAAATAGCTGTGCTTCTAGGGGTAAATATCGATTTTTGAAAGTAAATTGTTACCACACTTATTATCAAATGCATAGAACTGAACTTGTATTAAACGTTTTTTTAAACTTGGGAATCAGTTACTCCAACTCATTTTTTCTCGAATTGATCACATGTGTAATAACTAACATCCTATCTAGTCTCCAATGTTGATCGACTTTTACAAGAGGTCAGTCACAACTCGAATAGCTCGGTAATGATGCCGTCAAATGAGATAGTGGATGTAATGGGTTCATACTTTAAAAAGTACTCTAACATGATACTTAAATTCAAAGTTTTCTTCGGATTACCTCCAGTTACGGAAAATTTACTGGGATTTTATGTATAACTATTGAAAACTGAGGTACATTCGGTAGCTGTACTTTTTTAGTTTCTAAAATTCTAGAGAACTTTAAACTCACAGCTTCATATTCATAGAGAGGATCTATGAATCTGTAAGCTTTAATGTCATCTATTATCATGAATGAATAACTAATCAATGTCATAGAATATAAATGTGAAGATTCCTTGAAGTTAGTCATTTCACTGTGTAGAGGAAATGAACTTCAACCGATGAATAAAATTCTTTTGAAAGAATACATTTTAAAGCCCCTTAAATTATATATTTTCTTTTCTTTAGATCTATGTTCGTGCAATGTTTGATTATAGTCCTGAAAATGATGATTTAATACCATGTAGTCAAGCTGGTATACATTTTCATATTGGAGATATATTACAAATTATTAGTAAAGATGATCATAATTGGTGGCAAGTAAGAAATGGATATTCATTATAAACATTTATCCTATACTCATTTAAAATGGAAGCACTGGAAGTCCGTTTCGTCCTATTGTGGCAGTCCTCAGCAGTGCGTCAACCAGTAGGTCCTGGGTTCGAATCCCGATATCGCACGCGAGACCCGACCTTCTGTCTCGCGCGCGTACGCTTAACCTGTAGGCCACTCATCCAGCATACAGAGGTGTTATTGTCTAAATTCAATCGATCTCACAACTGACACAGTTTATTTGTCAATGATGGTCTAGTTTAGATGAACTTGTGAATTCAACTAATAAAATACTACAATCTTCACAAATCCCCATACTAATAATATATGTTTCTATATTTGAAGAATGCGTAGTTACCTTTTATTCTATGGATTTATGTTCATTCAAATGTACCAACTCATTTGTTCTTATGTGAAAATAGTTTCATTATGATCATTTGTATGATTGAATTGTGTTTTACAATGAGAATCCTAAACACTTGTTTCATTCATTCTATTTGAAAGATTTGTCATCTGAATGTATTTGTGACCTCAATGTTAATATAGTCAGATTGATAGTTTAAACCCCGGTACTTATTTCTTCAAATTCTACCATTGAGCTATTGATTCATAGTACTCACTCATTTGTTTAATGGATATAAATGTGTTGATGAAACTTTATGCTATTCCATCTTTTTGATATTTTGTACTGGAATTGTTCAGTTCTTGCTGAGATATATGTGCTTTATTTGAAAGTTCGATTGCACTTGCGAATTATTAGCTTATGATGTGTTTAGATTATTGTTGGCAGTAAGGTAATACAAACCTTTACCAATAGTTATGGAGCTCTTAAATTTAGACAGACGATGAGTAATTTGTCTATCATATCGCCCTTAAATGCCATTGTACGGCCGAGAGTGCGGAGAGTTATCTCTCCCTCTCGAAATGCTCTCACATGGCCACGTGCACGCAACTACTCTCGCGGCCACATTGTTATAACATAGTGGTGCAATGTTTCCGAAAAAAAAGTTTCTAATGGATACATTTTTGAACGTTCAAATTACTTCTCAATTCTTTGCGTATATTTTGCAAATAAATCCCAACAAGTACAAAACGTAAATTATAGTCTACAGAAATCTCATTGAAAACCTTTCGTGATTTGTGACGCTATAAGATAAGGCAAGTACATATTACTCCTGGCATTCTACAATCGTACACATTTAATTGTTGTTAAGAAAAAGGATCAGAATTATAGAAGAAAAATGAAAAGTTGTACGTTTTGATTTTGCACGTAAATTATTTTGAGAGATTTCTTTGGGGTAACGTGTTCAAAGCTGATGAGTTACTCCTGCATTAAGTTATCGATTTTTTTACAATCCCCTCTTAAGATCCATGTTGGATAATCTTCGGAATGTTTATTATTACCTTTTAAATTATATCTACACATAAACACGATTTCTTTTTTTATTTGGTTCAGGCTCGTTTATGGGGTTCGGATTGTCAAGCACCAGCGGGTTTAATTCCTAGTCCTGAACTTCAAGAATGGCGTATGGCAAATAAGGCAGCTGAATTATCACGTGAAATGGGTATTACACATTGTGGTGCATGGTTTAAACGTCGTAAACGTCATTTTAAAGATAAATACAAAAATAAACATTCAGCTATTTATGATCAATTAGATTTAGTTACATACGAAGAAGTTGTCAGATTACCACAATTTCGTCGTAGAACATTAGTATTACTTGGTGCACATGGTGTTGGACGACGTCATATTAAAAATTGTTTAATTCAATCATCACCGGATAAATTTGCATATCCTATTCCTCGTGAGTTATAAATACATAATGATAATATTGATAAAAGTTTATTTTGAAATTTTTAATAGACTAATTGTTTACTGCATTAAATGATGGAGAACAACAACCCAATAATAATTAATGGTGAAACTGTGGAAGATGTAGATTCCTTCACGTATCTGGGAAGCATCATCGATGAACAAGGAAGATCAGATGCAGATGTATAGGCGAGGATTGGCAAAGCAAGGGCCGCATCCTTACCATTGAAGAACATATGAAACTCTAAACAACTATCTATCAACCAATATCAAAGTCAGAATCTTCAATACGAACGTCAAGATAGTTAGTTGTACTGTACGGAGCTGAAACTTGGAGAACTACTACAAACATCATCAAGGATGTATGAGTATTTATAAATAGATGTCTAAGCAAGATACTCAACATCCATTGACCAGATACCATCAACAACAGCCTACTGCAGGAGAGAGCAATTCAGCTTCCAACTGAAGAAGAAATTAGGAAAAGACGATGGAAATGGATAGGACATACATTACGCAAATTATCAAACTACATCACGAGGCAAGCCTTAACTTGGAATCGTGAGGGAAAGCGGACAAGAAGAAGTCCAAAGAACACATTACGTCGGGAAGTTGAAGCGAATATGAAAATGATGAGTAACAACTGGAAAGGGCTAGAAAGGATTGCACAGGGCAGGGTTGGAATGAGAGTGCTGTTTGGTGGCCTATGCTCCTCCACAAGGAGTAATAGGCTTAAGTAAGTAAGAACGTAGCCATAAAACTGTACTTTTTTACTATGAGACTCGGAAAATACTTGCCACTGCTATTGTTACTATTTTAAAAATGTTCTATGTTAGAAAGGTTTCACCTAGAAAATCCATAGATTTATCACGAATTAATAGATTTGAGTGATAATGAAGATTCCGATTGATCAAGCTTTAATCGATTCATTCGCTTTATATCTTCCTGTCTATGAACTAATTTATTCTCCCTGTCTCATATCATGATACACAACCTTTCTTTTATATATATCACTATCATTGATGTAACTGCTCTGAATTTGCTGATCATCTTGTTGTGCTAATGAAATATGGAAATTTGGATCGATATATATATATATATATATATATATATATATATATATATGCCTGATTCTACATTATACACGACTGACTGTAATATTATAAACTTTGAGCGCAAGTGCATCCACACTTTGTGTTCGCTCAAATTTTAATCTTCTGAATTCTTCATGTCCGTTTATTTTTTATTTTTCCAAATTTATTTCATTGAATCATACTCCTTGAATAACATCTTCAAACGCGTATGTTTTCGATTACTGCCTAAACGTTTACTACCTCTACCGCTATGTGATTTGGATCGACAATTGTATCTGTGTGCTAATGTGCTATGGCAACTTGAACTGATGTACGTGCGTACGAAGCCCTACGTGGTTGCTGACTAACTGACTGCCTAACACCTTAACAACATGGTTAATACTTCATATAGATATTGGAGAATTGTCATTTGTTTTTTTAAAAAGAAATCTCCAATAAAATATTTTCATATTTATTTTACAATTAGATACAACTCGTACACCACGTAAAGATGAAGTGAATGGAAAGAACTATTACTTTATTTCACATGATGAAATGATACGTGATATTGCTAATAATGAATACTTAGAATATGGTTCACATGAAGGAGCAATGTATGGTACAAAATTGGATACAATAAGACAAATACATGCAACTAGTTTAATTGCTATATTGGATGTTGAACCGCAAGCATTGAAAATATTACGTACTGCTGAATTTGCTCCATGTATTGTATTCATTGCAGCTCCAACTCTCACTAATATCACTAATGGACACAATAATAATAATGATAATAATAATAATGTGAGTTGCCTAATATCATTTTTACAAACGGATTTATAACTTTTTCATTTATGCCTTCTTTAGAGTTCAGCATTGAATGTTTAATGTTTTCATTAACGATCAATCTGTTCAAGATTCTTGTAATTTTTTGAGATCATGAATCGACCGATATTATACCACTATTGATAGCGTGGATGCATTGGGTGATCGTTTCTTCCTAGTATGGGTCTCCTCAGTAATGCAAATCCACTATATCGCACACGGGATTTGAACTCAGAACCTTCGGTTTCGCTCAAACATTGATTGGTTCATGATCACAAAAAAAATTCAGCTGTCTCCATAAATGTATACTGATTTCTACCAGTGAAAAATTGTAATGCTATTACACTGTAATTAGGCTCCAATTCATTTCTATTTGGATAATCTTTGACCTTTTCGGTAGAAGAGGCTAGAGAGGTGGGATACTTAGAAATAGTTAATTTATATGTGTGAAGAAAAACGCTGAACATGCTTCCATATTGACAGCGATTATTGATTCACAATCGTGTTTGCCTTTAACTTGATCCCGGACAATCAAAATGAATGCACAAATAATGACATCACATGGAACGAAAAACACTCTATTCAATGTAATGTGGGCACAATGCGATTTTTGTTAATAGTGGAGGGATTCTGAAACCCCATTGTTTTTAAAGTGTAAACTGATAAGGATATTGTTTATAAAAAGATAGTGCAAAATTTAAGGTTAAGCCACTCAAATCAAAAAGTACACTGAAATTCCCATTGTGGTGAACGAGAACAAAAGTGGGCACAACCGAATGTATTTGAACACAAAATAAAATCTGAGAAGCATACGGTAATTACTTTATTTGCAAAGTGTCAGTCAATCGCACCCACGATTACACTCGTGGAATTAGAAACTAGGGCCTTCGGTCTCGCAGGCGAACATTCAACGTCCATACTACTACTGAGCCAGAGGGCTAACATCAATCAATTCATGATCCCAATCAAAAACATATTAATCTCCATATCCCCATACTGATAATTATAATAATAGACATTGATTTTCCCTTAGAAACATTTAGACTTTCAATTTGTTCACTTTTTTTCTCCATAGGATGAAAGTCTTGAAAGATTAACACGTGATAGTGCATTATTAGAACAACATTATAGTCATTTTTTCGACTTAAAAATTATTAACAATGATATTGAAGAAACAATTATTCAACTTAAACGTGTAATCGATGACTTTCAAATCACTCCACAATGGATACCAGTTACATGGGTCTATTAAGTATGATTCATTTAATCATGATTATACAATGTTGTGAATAATGTTACAATTGGACGAATTGGTTTAGTTTCTTTCAACTTTTCATTGTTCTTATTATCAATTAGATGGTTAATTTGCATAGAATGTGCTTTCTTCTATTTAAATTCCCTTTTTTCTCTCTCCCCCCTCTGTGTGTGTGTGTGCGTCTATTCAGTTACATCTTGCTTTTTAATCTTTACCTTTGCTACTATTCTTTCATTGTATCTCTCTTCTTGCCCACCTCCCCTTATTCACATTTTAGTTTTTTCTTAACTACGTAATTTGGATTCTTCATCGTATTCACATCATTATCTTTCTTGTTTATTCATGTTCAAAATCAAAGAAAATGTTGTTATTTTGTAGAGATGATCAAACAGATAAACTCCACCTAGTCCATTATGATGTCTAATCCATCATCGTTATTCTATTGCATTTCTCTGTATATAATATAGTAGTCATCTAAATGATGCTATTGCTTCTTTCCAATTTTGTTGTTGTTGTTAGTGTCGGAGTATTGGTTATTTACTTACTAAATCAGTATTAAGTAGTATTGAAATGCTTTTGTCTTACAGTTTACTTCACGTGATCAATCGTAATTGAATTCATTCAATCTTGATCATAACATGATCATTTTATTAATAGTTAATTCTGTTTATTTTTGGTTTTAACTTTTGTTTGATGGTTTGTTTTCTTTCTTAAATGATCAAGTTCTACTTTCATTTTGATTGATTTCAGTTTATAATTTTTTTCCTGTTTTTGTATTTACTTTAAGTAAGAATAAAACTAAGTTTTGGTTTAAATGAATATCTCCTCAATGATGATCCGAGATTTTGTTTTCTAATTTTAAAGTTTATTCAATTAACTTACATAATTTATCATCCTATGTTGGAGAAGATTTACAGCTCAGTTGAATGCTTCAACATGAAGAGGTGGGTGCCGATGAGATTATCTACAACGACAAGATATTCAAGAATGTTCAGTAATTATATTATCTAATGAACAGGGCAAAACACCAGAATATATGGGCATTGTTAAAATAAGTATTTCTTGACTTGCATAAATCTATGATTTGATAGCACCGTTGAATTCAGTTCTCAAACAGTGACTACTGGGATTAAGCTACATGAGCACATGACTGAGAGCTCTAAATTCTTTTATTGAAATCCCATGTATAGTTACTGAAGAACAATCAGTCACGGCACTTAACAAACTTTCTTACTGGTCTATCACTTTTGTATTGGTCTCTCAAATTCATAGGTCACTTATGTGTATATTTAAATAAGTAGAGACTTCGTTGGTTTCAAAATTGACTTCATGGATTTAAAGCCATCAATACGGTAGTTGTAGTTGGTAGTTTAGCAAAAAGTTAAGTGATCATAACTGAGTGCCGCAAATCTCAAGAGCTCATTAGAAATTATCATGTAAAAACTTGTCAAAGTCATCTGTCACATTAAATGTAAAGTTTCCCACACGCCGGTTCACAGTCACAGAGATGAGTTGCTGAGATACTGCTATAACTCGTAAATTACATCAGTTTTTGTATTGTGTGTTGTTATTAGAGAAATGTTTACATAAATTAATTCAAGTAAACTGATCTAGTGATCTGGAATGTAGTATGCACAACTACGGGAATTACACTTTATGAAAGCCGTCTTGGATATTGTTGAATAATGTTGCCTAGCATTCCTAAGTACACTTATTTAGACCTGACTGTGAATATTACATCTATTACTTTTTCAAATAGAATAAGTGGAATATGTCTAGCAGTGAAATCTAAAACTCTCATCTCACTTGGGATTCGTCGGCCGAATATATATCACTGAGAGTTAAGCTATTGATTTCATATATATTATCCGCTACGTTTGTGAACCATTCACAGACGTTAACCTAATATACGAGTCAGCAAAAACAGGGTACCGAGTGGACGATAAAGTTCACCATCAGTTTTCAGTTCCAACGGGATTCCCGTTAAAATAATTTCTGGCAGGATTAGAAAATTAGTTATCGCCTAATTTTATTGATTAGATGTCTTTATATTGAAAATACATAAATAACGCATATATTTTGAGTGTGAAAGAAGTTATTATCAATTTTCTTCTAAAAGTGTTTAATATCTCTCATTTAAGAATCAAAATTACTTGCGAAAGACAAGAATATCACTGTAGTTCATCAGTTGATTTCCGACCAACAGAAAAATAGGAGGCAAAGTTTGTCATACAGTGACAATAAAAGAAATACAGAACACATTATAAAAAGCGGTTATCCCAAACAACGTATGTGGTTTTACAATTAAAATCATACTTGGAAATCATTTCAAACTTTTAATTAGGTAAAGGCTACATTTGACTGCTGATTTAAAAGAAATAATTGTTGAACAGCTAAACTAAGAAGAGTTACAAGTAAATCAATATTTTAATGGACACTATGTATCTTATAAGCGCATGCTGCGTACTGCAAATACAAGTAAAGATTCAGGTTCTACTATTTCCATATTCATTTTCCCGATTACTCACGCCAAAAATACTAAATTGGCCAAACGACCCAACAAGCTTAAGTATGCCACAGAATTCAACCCAGTCAACTCAGAAGTCAGGGATGAATGTGTTTGCAGTAAGATTTTACAGCTCGTTCTTATGTTAGGAAGAGGTTAATCTATGCTGGTTTGCGGTTGCAAGGGTTGCGTAGCAAGGAGCGTCCGCTGGCAATTTGATGGACATGTTTGACTGAATATCTTGAGCTAAAGTGTGTCCAGTCTAAACGGTGAGATCTATATCAGTGTCAAACGCTTACAGCGCTATATATCTTGAGATGGTGGGTTCATTTTTTTCTACAAATTCACTGTTAAGTTCCCAAGTGTGGTTTACTATAACCAAGTCAAAGATTAGATAAGTCTAGCTGAAATTTATCACTTTCGCATTTGAAATATAAGAGCGATAAGAGCTCAGCTTGCAGTGCTAAACAAAGAGTTTTTATGAAGCTTTCAAGTCGTATCCATATCCAGTTATCAAGCATCTCAAGAGCAGTGGGCATAAAAAATTCTTTGATCAAACTCACCCAAACCTGTATTCTCTTGTTATTTGATTTGCATTAATGTTATTACTAACTTTGCTTTCCATACTATCCGCTCAAAATTATAATAGTTCACTCGTTTCATTACACCTGCGCTCCCCCGTCCCGATAGACAAACTTTCAAAATTCTGTGCACATATTTTTATGAATATACCACACATTTAATCATCACTTTACGCAATAGCTTGCCTACATTTATGTTCAATCGATCAACAACAACAACAAAAGGTTAAACGCTGTGGACAGATAGTTTTAAATGCAAAAATATAAATTCCCATATGCTATTTATCGAATGAATCACAATAAGGATTTGAGAGTCAAACTCAGGTCTCTTATCATCTATTTAAACAGAAAACGCTGAAAATGACTTTGCTATGTAGTGAAAATACTAAGACTTTTCGAATATTGTATTCAAAATACATCAACTCGGTAAATGCAAAGTGGTCAAACACAATTTTATAGGGGACGAACAAAACAATTGATTGCATTCGCACTACACGGTAAATAAAGTTAAAAGGCGTCGATCGTCCATACTAAACGTTTTTCTAAACACTGACTAACCCCAATCGCTTTACTACTTATTTTCACAGATAATTTTGTGATTTTCATCACATATTTTTCTCACAATTTCAAACTGCGAAGCAACATCAATGGTTGTCTCCAATAGCTTCGGACTTGACCGTTCCATGTTCTAAGAAACATGCGAAAAAGATCATCTTCTCATAAGACAACATACCACTTATTTCGATAAGTTTTTCTTGGAAATTTCTTATGTTTGATTTTATCTCTTCTACTTGTGCATACATAATCTTATAAAATCCATTTTTACTTTCTGCAGAGGCTTTAGCATTGCTATATAGCTTTGTTTTAAAGTCATTGTTGTCATACCTCATCATGAATTATAGAACGCGTTTACACCTAACGTTTTTTAAAACAGGCACCAAAAATGGTTCAAATACTTGTTGACGGAACAGAAAATGCTTTTGCCTAATGGGTTTCCGTGTCTAGTTCAAATGGTTCAAATGGTTGTGGACGGAATAGAAGAAGCTTTCGCTTAACCGGCTTCCGTGTCTGGTAGCAGGGGTACACCAAAATTTCCAGGCAGGAATCTAGATATGTTAACAAGAAAACAGGAAAAGAAATTGATAAATCATAGTTCTATACTATCCTTAGTCCTTAAGAATAGATCAAGTTTCCTCTTAAAGGACTCCTGGGAAGCCGCTTGGACTAGCTCGGCCGGTAGCGAATTCCAGCATTTGACAACTCTTAAGGAGTAGAAGTTGTGTCTACATTCCTTTCTGCTATGTTGTGTCTCCAACTCCGCCTGTAGCTCTTATAGAGTTACTGCCGGTCCCAAGCCCGGGTAAAGGAGGAGAGTTGAGCATGGGGTTAGCGTCCCCATCCCGTAGAAAACTAACTCGCTAAAAAAACGCTTACCAGAAAAAATAATCCAAACCATTTAAACTATGCCCTGGGAGTTAGAAGGTCTTCATTTAGAAGAATTATGACGCTTCATGGTGAAAGCCGAGTTCCTTCGGAAGCCACGAGGCCGATGCCTCTTCTAACAACCAGAGCAAAAAATTTTATAGGTACATGGAACGTTCGAACAATGTGGGAAACTGGGAAGACCAGTCAAAGAGCAATGGAAATGAGGAGATACAACTTAGCAGTACTGGGAATCAGCGAAACCCAATGGACCCAAGCTGGACAGAAAAGGCTAGCTACAGGAAAGATGCTGCTATACTACGGATACAAAGAGGACAATGTTCCACACACTCAGGGAGTCGCTCTTATGCTGTCCAAAGTAGCACGAAATGCACTTGTAAGATGGGAATCTCACGGGTCCAGAATCATCAAAGTATCATTCAAAACAAAGAAGGAGTGGGTCTTAACGAATATTATCCAATGTTATGCACCCACAAATGATAGCAACGACGACATTAAAGATCAGTTCTACGAGCGGCTGCAGTCAGTCATTGAGAAATGCCCAAGAAAGGACCTAACTATTCTGATGGGAGATCTAAATGCCAAAGTCGGAATAGACAACACTGGATATGAAGATATTATGGGACAACATGGACTGGGAGAAAGAAACGAAAATGGAGAAAGATTTGCAAATCTATGTGCATTCAACAAATTGGTCATAGGAGGCACAATATTTCCACACAAGCGTATACACTGGGCTACGTGGATCTCACCGGACCACACTATTGAGAACCAAATAGATCAGATTTGCATCAACAAAAAATTCCGAAGGACAATGGAAGATGTGAGAACCAAGAGAGGCGCTGACGTAGCTTCAGATCACCACCTAGTTGTGGCCAATTTAAAACTGAAGCTAAAAAAGAACTGGACAAGTGGACAAACAGCACTACAAAGGTTCAATACAGCCTTCCTTTGAGATACTGACAAACTCAATGAATTCAAGATAGCTCTCAACAACAGGTTCCAAGCCTTACAAGATCTACTGAAAGAAGAAGAAACTAGTATGGAGAACAATTGGAAAGGCATCAAGGAGGCATTAACTTTAACGTGTCAAGAGGTTCTGGGTCTAAAGAAATAACATCATAAGGAATGGATCTCTACAGAAACACTGGACAAGATCAAAGAAAGGAATAATAATAATAATAATATATTTCTGCATGTGCAGGTACACACCGTTTTTACAGGCATGATCTATAAATTACAACATTTGTTGGTTCACAAAATGTTTCCCAACTTATTAAGTTTATAGTTGTTATAAAGTGAAATCGTAGAGCGCTTGCTGTAAACTATGACCTTGAGAGGACGCGTACATCAAGTTTGTTCCAAACGTCAGAAGTTTCATAGCCGTTCTCTCAGAGCAAGATTCTGAAGAAAAAAGAGAAACAGAAGAGCAGCAAGGCACTTGGATATGAACGCAAAACGTTGCTTAACATAGTGTGGTAGAACGGACAGAGGTATAATAAATTAGAATAAATTCATATTATGTCTTGTTAGTAAAATGAAGTCAGAGGCTCCATATTATAGAATGTACTAATAAAGAACAATGAGTTGTGATGTTTAACAAGTTGGAGTAAGCTCACATGAAGGAAAGGAAGTCAAGGCTGTTACTAGGAAAGCGGTTTATAAGAAGGGTGTGTATATAGAGGGTGAAGTGTTAAGAATATTAATGACTACATCTTTTATTGTCTAACTTTTTTTTCTTTTTTTGTTTTTCCGATGCCAGCCACACAATCCTAGTGTAAAAATCCGAGTTAGCATGTTATGGGTTGTCTTAGTAGAATAGCTGATCCAGCATAATATTAGAAACATGAGTTTGAGTGGTGAGCGTAGGAAAACAATCTATATCACAGATTGATTGAATTGTTCTCAGTCATGAGGAGCCTGATACATACAAAATGTTCTGTCCCCACAAACATGGGTGGATTGAAGTTATCGCCCTCACCATCAATGCTTGCTGGTCAGTAACTCCACCCTCCCTCCTTTTGTGATGTTAGGCTCATTTAGCATTATTTTTGTATATACGTCATACCTCGCACAATCCTCTGTTTCACAAACTGTTGGAAAGCACTATTTCTATAAGTACCATTTTACAAGCTTATCAGACAGTTACAAGCTATGGACTGTGGGTAAAGCATCGATGCAGTGCCTCTGTTGACTATAGTATAAAGTATAGTTTGCCAATCAGAGTATAAGCGTTAAGAAGGGTATATTGTAGGATAGTTGTTTATTTAAGCAGGCGGAAAAAGTATAGAAGTATATGAGTTGTGGATATGAGAACGAGTGGAGAAATAATATTAATTTCTAGTCAAGTTAATACAGGATAAACAGGAAGGGACTCACAGTAACTTGGTGCTGATGTTATTTTGTGTTGTCCTAACCAGTTGATTGGTAACAGGCTCCATAGATGCAAGACCACTGGTAGTAGGCAGCCGATTGTGCGGTCCTCTTGACGTTTTAGGGTGGTAGTGAGTGTCCCTTATCGACCGAGTTTATCTTAACAGTAATGATAGGTCCATTGAGTTACCTGTCTACTTCAAGTGAAGAAATGGGGTGGAAAAAGTAATTAATACAACTGCAAAGTAGGAAAAATAAGGCATACTGAACTTGAAGTCCATTTTGGTCTAGACATGGAGAGAGCCTATGATGTCTGAGTGGGGCGCAGATGTGTTCGTACGTGCAAGATCAGTGCAGGTGAGGGCTTGATCAAGTAGTTTTACAAACGTATGTAATTCATCTGCCATGCGAGTTTCGGAGGGAAGACTGTTCCATATTATTGCATACTTGGTGAGGAAGAAGTTTTCCCGAGTTTTTGATCTGTATTTCTCAACTTTGACCGTAGATACTTTGTTTCGAAGTCCGTATTCATGTGAATCTCGGGCAAGAATTATCTTACACGTTGAATAAGTAAGGTTTTTGAGTAGTTTGAAGTAGAGAATCAAATTAGACCTAAACCTTCTTTTCCAAAGGGGTGCTATTCCTAAAATTTGGCATCGGGAACTATAGTCAATGACCAAGTCAGTCTTAAGTACCTTGCGAGTGAAGTCTCGTTGTATTCCTTCCACCTTTAGTATATCAGATACGCGTAGGTTGGAAAACAAGAACGAGCAGTATTCAGCGATAGGTCTTACACAAACTTTGTAAAGAAGGATTTTAGATTCATTTTGATAGAAATTACGAAGAATGAAGCCAAGCAATTTCCGCATTTTGGATGCTTTGGCTGAGATGTGTTCAGAGAAATTAAGACTGTGTGAGTAATGTACCCCTAGGTCAGTTACTGATGCCAGTCTGGGCAGTATGTGATTGCTAAGTGTTAGTTTCGTTTTGAGAGATGTGTCTCCTATACATAACCAGCCGCATTTCTCTGTGTTGAGCTCTAACCTCCAGCGTTTGCACCAGTCGTTTACCATGTTGAGGTCACGTTGGATTGTTTCCATAGTACTGCGTAAATCGGAAATGTCAGTTTTATAGATGACTTTTAAGTCATCGGCATAGAGGTATGTCTTACCTGTGCTAAAACACTTGCATATATTGTTGATATAGATTATAAAGAGTAATGGACCCAAGACACTACCCTGCACAACACCACTGGTTATAGGTCGAGGTGTAGATGTATTAGAGTTAACCTTGGTTATTTGATATCTGTTCGTAAGAAAAGACTTGATCCATTGCAAAAGGGGATTTATAATTCCAACTGACTTAAGTCTGTTGATTAGAAGATTATGAGGTACCTTATCAAAGGCTTTCTTAATGTCGAAGTATAGTATAATAACTAGTTTCTTCTGGTCACGTATACGAGTAACCTCGTTGAAGAAGTCTATCAGTTTTCGCAGTTTAGTCCTAGTCTTTTGGTTTAGATATGGAGTAATTGTTTTAAAACCAATTTTAGAGGGTACAGTAGTGTCTAGTGCAGATTTGGTGGTGATATTGAATATTTCTAATGTTTCTAAGAGGTTATTACTGGTAAAGAAACTGCCCCAGTCAGAGTGCTTTATTAGAAATTGAAAGTTTTCCCAGTCAGCATTTGCATAGTCTCTATATTGGAATCGCGTGTTTAATGTCTTTAATTTGTTGCATATGGCAAGAATCGGAAGGGTGCAGAAGACTATTTTATGATCGCTGTTGTGAAACTTTTCGCCAACCACCATTGATGTTGGTGTGACATTATGACAGAATATCAAGTCAAGAATGTTGTGATTTCGTGTAGGCAGGTGTACATGTTGTTGCCAGCCGTGTATGTCGAAGGTCGTAAGTATGCTTTCATAGCACAATGGGCCAGAATGTGTCTTCCAGTTGATGGTGGGAAGGTTGAAATCACCACATACAATTTTGTAAGTGAAGTCAAGTGAGGCAGCCTGAGCAAATGACTCATTTATAATAGTGTCATTTGAACTAGGAGTGTTAGGAGCTCGATATATGCATCCGATTAGTATTTTACATTCATGAGTGTACACAGTAAGCCATATCGATTCAGGAAGTTTACTGAGGACGTGGTCGCTATAGATTTCCGCTCTCAAATATTTTGATACATAAACGAGACAACCACCACCCGTCTTGGTTACTCGATCACAGCGGAAGAGCTCATATGTGTCTATTTGTAGAAATGTGTCTGTGGTGTCGGAGGACAGCCAACTTTCCGTTATCAAAACAAGTGAGGGGTTGTTTAAAAGTAAAAGGGTGCGTAGGTGAGTCATCTTACTTTGTACAGATCGAGCGTTAATTAACATAAGTGTCAGGTACGGTGACTGTTTGTCTAGTAGAAGGGTATGATGTATACCCAGTGATTTGTCTGTTTTGCAACGAGAAAAGGAAGAATTGGGAGCGTCGACTCCATATTGATGAGCGTTTAGTTTATTACCAGTAGGGTTAATGCGAGAAGGGTAGTCGGGTGTTGTTTTGGTGAAAGAAGTATGTCTAAGAGTGGAAGGTAGAGTTGAATGGTTAGGTAATGTGTCCGGGGAATGATCAGGGGGTCCAGTCAAGAAGTTTTCAAGACTAGAGACATTTATCGAGGTTGAGAAGGATCTGCCATTCCCCATCAAATCGGAGTATATAGATGGTTTCAGAATAGTGGGATTGTCGCCCTCAACATTTGGAGACCCCATAGCAGTAATGTTGAGGGGGGGAGAGATAAAAAAGGATGTGATAGTGTGTATGTCGAATTAGGGGGGACTAAACCGCTGTATTGGGTGGCTTGACTTAGATAGTACCTAGAGTCAGTAGGTGGGTTTCCAAGTAGGCCAACGTTATGGCTTCCTTGTGTGCGGTGGGCAATTTTAGTCCTAATGTGGTTAGTTGGGGAGGTTGTATGTTTCTGGTGAGGAATAAAGGAATGCCTGTTATTGTTGCTAAGAGAGGTGTTTCTGATGTGTATTATTTATTTATTTATTTATTTCAACACATAGATAATGGTACAAAGAGGCACCAAATACATATGCGCCACACAAATCTCATCCGATATGTGTGAGGGCTGTGATACTGCCCGGGTGCCCAAACCGAAGCAGGTGGTTTTCTTAGGGGGCCACACCCCGAGCCTTCGACCTGAGGGTCTGATCCACAAGGCAGTGGAGCATCGTAAGGAGATGCAGTCCCATGGAAGCCGGTGACCAACAATTGGTTCATTCGCCATTTGTTCCCGCAGGATACTGGAGCCCATGTGCACCATTGGTTTGGAACCCGGTTAAAGCGCCGGACATTCGCTTTTCGTCCTCTCATTTTCGTAAACAACACCCCCGCCACGAGAAGGCAGTGAGTAGGACTTCCCTGGCAGAGGCTATATACGCGTGGCCGTGTGAGAGTATTTCGAGAGGGAGAGCGGACTCTCCCCACTCTCGGCCGTACCAGGGCATTTGGGGGCCTGATGTGTATAGTTTGTTTTGATTCATGGGGCTTGCAAGGTTGACACTATATGACTTATGGGTATCACGTGTGGGTGTGGTTCTTGTCAAATGTCGTTTCACATTAGGATGAGTGGGTGTTGCCAGTTCACTATGTTTGTTGTAGGGCATTCTATTGCTATGAGAAGGTGCACGTTTTGGGTTAGAGGTGCTGGAGTATTGGTGGGTTTTTACGGAGGGTTTGGTATTATTTCGTACAGCGATGTCCGAGAGTCTGTAGCTGTTAGCGCAATTCCTGGGGTGGTCATTTTTAGGCATTTTACAGGGGCCGCTAGGGTGATACTTGGACGCTATTGAGGCATAAGTGGTTTGGCATTTTGGTGTAGCTGAGTGTTTGAGCTGAGGGTGAGTGGTTGTAGCTGCTTTATACGCGGTCTTGTCCTTAGGATTAATTGCAGTGTCCGACGTGCCTCCGTTTTTTGGGGGGGCAGTGTATGATATTTTAGGATTTGTGCAGTGACAAGAGCTGTAGCTGCCGCGGCTACGTAAGCTGGGTTGATCAGTTTGTGTTCCATTGCAGATACGACGCTGGATAGCGGTCCTGTCATGAATGATCCTAATCTTTTTAAATGTTGGAATACGCCTCAGTAGTGACTGACTATTAAGGAGGTGATTAGCTTCAGTGGTACTACCAAACTGAAATAGAATGGGACATGAGGCTTTAGTGTGTCCTTTACGTAATCTCCTTGTTACACACCAAGATTGCGACAATCCACACTCTTGTAGCAGAGTATTTTTAGCAATCTTTATGTTCGTACTATCAGGTATATTATACACAATGACATTATGCATACACTGAAGTCTTTTCAACACTTCGGTTGATATATGGTCAATTATTTTTTCAGTGTTTTTTATAATTTCCAGATCGGGGTTTTCTGGAACACTGATTAAATATTTGTACGGTAATAGGTCTTGAATAGTTTGGGTGAGGCTAAGATCTGTTTGGGTGCTTCTAGGTCTACCAGTGGTGAGATTATTCAAGTTTATATCAAAGTTTTTAAGGTCGATATGGTTACATACAGGCCTGTTACAGGTGTCTAGCGGGTGGTCACTTTGTGCACACTTAGTTGGGGGATTGGGTATATGTCTGGGTGAGTAGTCAAGATCTACGTCATCGGGCTGGCTATTGTAGGCAGTCGTAATTCGTGAGCCACTACTTAGGATGGCCGATTGTAAAATTGTTGGGTGTTTGGGGTCAGCCGCACTGTCTAAATACTGCTCACAATATTCGGTGCTCTTTTTGGGACTGACAAATGATGTCGACTCTAACAGCATGTGACTGCTCTTATTTATATCGACAAGCGAGATGCAAGGTAGTGATATGTCTTGTCCAAGTAAAGGGTGCACCTTTAGTGTGGCTGAGGGAAGATCAGAGTAGGATGCAGACTGATCAATGTGTTTATAAGGTTTCGCATTATTCGCTTTAGTGACTGATTTAGATCTTTTGCAGGTGCTATAGGCATCTGGAGTGTGGTGGACCAAACAGATATGAACACAAAAAAATATAAACAAAGTTATTAAAATCAATAGTAATATTAATATATATAATTAATTGTCACAAATACGATAAAAATTGGGGACGTTACTTAAATTGATCAGACGTCGCGTGTTAGGATTAGGTCCAGTAAAGTAAATCCACAATTATAAATGTTTGTTGATTCTGAACAAGTTGGTGAACTCTCTAATGATATAATCCAACGTTGAATGTGATATATTTCGGTTACAGTCTATAAATGAAGATAGAATTTGATTTAGACTTCGGATATCTCAATCACAAATGGAAATAGAACGATGAGTGTGCGAGAAGCGTTGTATTTGTTAGCTAGCAGCGGTATGGCACGCAATGTAGTAGTACAACGGAAAGTGTGTTCAAGGTCATTTACTAAAACAACAGTTACAGTCATTTAATGTTAAATATACATACAGTGGAAGGTTGACAAAGTAAATACAAATAACATTGAAAACTATTTACAAAATAAGCTTGACAGGTCCATCTCCACATAGCTCCCCCCAGAGTGTCCGGAGGTAACACTGGTTATAATAGAAAAAATGTAAGGGTGTGATATATACATGTATACAAAAATAATATTTACAGTTATAACCAACAAAAATGTGGAGATGAGTATGACGTGTAGTAGAGATGTAGCATGGTATAATAAGCACACACACAAAAAAAAATGAAGACACTGTCATTTAATGCCTTGGTTGGCTGACAATGATAATAATAATGTGTAAAAATGCTAAAGAGCCAAAAAAAATTGAACTGTTTATGTTTGTATACGATAAATGAATAACTAAACAGAGTTTACTCGTTTATTAGTGTGACAAAAACAAAACAAAATTTTTTTTTAAAAAAAAACTGACAAAACGAGTAATTATGGAAAAATGTGATTATGTACACTGTGAAAAAGGAAAAAAAAAATTTTTTTGGGTGAAATTAGTAGTGTGTGACATAGAGAGGTGTGTGTTTTGCTTTTTTTAATCAACGAAATGGACATAACGCTTGGGTTTGTTTATAGGTCTACCGGAGCGTGTTAAACAAGGGGGCTTAGTATTAAGTTTTTTATCCTCCATTGGTTGTTCAGTCGCTGGTGGGAGGGGTTGATTATCAACGGCGTTGTCTTCCTTGACTTGAGTAGCTTCACAGAAAGCAGGTTTTATTCTGTCTATAGAAATAGTCTGCTTGTTGCCATCTCTGTTGACGATGAAGTATTTTTGTGTGCGTTTAATTACTTTATATGGACCTTTATATGGTTGTTTCAATGGTTTTTTAACCGTATCTACTCGGACAAAGACAAATTTGCACGTTTCAAGGTTTTTATCAAGTTGGACTCGATTGTTGTGTTCACGAGGGGGTATTGCTTAAATATTCTGCATAGTTTGTAATAGGCGACTTGCGAAGTGAGTAGTCTCTCCTGGCGTTGTAGGTTCATAGTTGACTAGTTGGCCAGGTAACGTTAGAGTTGTACCATAGACTAACTCGGCGGCTGTACATCCAATGTCTTCCTTTATGGTTGAACGAATACCGAGGAGTACAAGTGGTAATGCGTCACTCCATTTGGTTGTATCATCTTGGGCCATCAGCGAGCTTTTTAATTGGCGATGAAATCTTTCAACCATGCCATTAGCTGCTGGGTGGTAAGCTGTTGTTTTGATGTGGTTCACGCCCAGAAGTCTTGTAAATTCCTGAAACAAGATAGACTGAAACTGGGGACCACGGTCTGTAGTGACGATAGACGGTACTCCGTAATTTGCTATCCAACGTTCAAGGAAAACGCCAGCTATCGTTTCTGCGGAAGTGTCTTTTATGGGGCAGGCTATGGCCCATCTTGTAAATCTGTCTACTGCGGTGAGAATGTGGGTAAAGGAATTGGACGGGGGCAGTGGCCCGACTAAATCCAAATGAATATAATGAAAACGTTTGTCGGGAATAGGAAATTCGCCGATCGGGCTGATAGTATGTTTTTGTATTTTGCTGCGTTGACACTGGAGGCAGCTACGTGTCCAACGCTTAACGTCCGAGTTGATTTTCGGCCACACAAAACGTTCAGTGATGAGCCTTGTTGTTGCTCTGATGCCTGGATGTGAAAGACCGTGTAAGTGCTGAAATATTTTTCGTCTGCAGGCATGTGGGACAAACGGACGATTGCTGCCTGTTGAGGTGTCACACATGATGAATGCATCTGAAAGCGGAATTGGTACAGGTTTGAGGTTTAAGCTAGACTTTTCTTTGCAGACTTTCAACTCTGCATCGTCTACTTGAAGTTTAGCCAAAGTTTCAAGGCTGATGTCATGATTGCGTACCATCATATTGATATCTCTCCTAGACAGTGCATCAGCGACAATGTTTGAGTGACCGTTGATAAACCGGATGTCTGTAGTGAATTGGGAGATGTAATCCAATTGTCTTGCTTCTCGTGGCGAGTGTTTGTCATACGATGTGCCAAAAGAATGGCAAAGGGGTTTATGATCCGTCATAATGATGAAATCGCGACCCTGTAACAGAAAACTGAAATGTTTTACCGCTAAATACATAGCCAAGAGTTCGCGTCCAAAAGTGCTATAACGTTCTTGTGTTGGTGATAATCTCTTGGAGAAAAAGGCGATTGGGGTAATCGAGTTGTTTACTCGCTGTTGTAATACCGCCCCGACGGCTTTTTGTGAAGCGTCTGTGCATAGGATCAACTGTGTTGTGGGGTCAGTATTTAGATGTTGAAGCATGGTAGCATTAGCAATCATGGATTTAGCTTTTTCGAATGCTACTTTAGCATCAGAAGGTAACTTAAATATTTGGTTTTTTTCTTTCTTGGTACCTGATTTATCATTTTTCAGTAAATCTGTCAATGGCTGTAGTACATCGGCGCAATTTGGTAGAAATCGACGATAAAAATTGCATGTTCCCAGAAAACGACGTAGTGATTTTACTGAGGTTGGTTCTGGGTAGCTGGAGATGGCTTTGACTTTTTCTTCAAGCGGTTTAATTCCTTGGGAATCAATATGGTGTCCTAGGAATTCCAGAGATGAGGCTCCAAATATGCACTTCGAAGGGTTGATTACAACACCATAACTTTTGAAACGTTCAAACAGCGTGTGTAAATGCTGGACATGTTCTTCAGTGGAAGAACTAGCGATTAAAACGTCGTCGATATAGACAAATACAAATTCCAAACCTCTAGTTACTTCATCCATATATCTCTGAAAGGTTTGAGCGGCGTTTTTTAGTCCGAAAGGCATCCTCAAAAATTCAAACAAGCCAAAAGGTGTAATTACAGCTGTTTTTTCGATATCTTCAGGCGCCATCGGTATTTGATGGTATGCTCGGACTAGATCTAACTTTGAAAAAATCTGTTTTCCATGTAAATTTAAAGAAAAATCATGTAAATGAGGGATTGGATACCTGTCTGGGATAGTCTGGTTATTTAGTCGGCGATAATCTCCACATGGGCGCCAGTCTTGATCTTTCTTGGGAACCATATGCAACGGCGAGGCCGAAGGACTGTTAGATTGTCTGATTATCCCAAGCTGCATCATGTGTTCGAATTCTCTCTTAGCGAACTGCAACTTGTTTGGTGGGAGTCTTCGCGCCCTAGCACGAATGGGTGGTCCTGTAGTAGAGATATTGTGTTGAACATGATGTGTGGAGCATTCGTTTTGGTAATCAGTTCTGGTTATGCTTTCGTACTTCGACAGGATATCAGTGAAAATTTTGTTTTCAGGTCTTAACATTCGAACACCATGAATTTCGTAATTCGAGGCAGGAGTGCCACTGACCTGCAAACTTGTGTTCTTGTCAATAAGTTTCTTTTTCCCCATGTCTACCAATAGGCTGTAAGCACCAAGAAA